TTATTTTATTGATTGCTTAATTGTTTGTGAAGTGGTTGACAGAATGGACTGCGTTAGAATCTATAATAGTTTCCATTCCTATTCTCTTGCGAATTTGAAATAATAAATGATTAGAGACAAAATATAGCCACAAAGTCTTATAACCAGAGACAAAACCAAGTTCAGTATATTTTGGGAGGAAAAAATTAGTAAATATGAAAAGTAATATTTTTCTTACAAATTTTGCCAAAAAATAGTGATTTTGAAGCAGACTGAATCCTGGAAACCCTAGTAACAGTCACACAACAAACAATATTTTCAAAAATGCTTCATAAAGAAACATGTTCAGACACACAAGTGGTTTTAAATTTAAGAAAACATAGATGAAAGCTTCCAAAATTTTACCGAATAACTACAAACAATGCAATTTTTTTAATATATTTAGATCAAAATTAATTGCAAGCGCAATAATCCACACAGAACAAAACTTAATGTGTACATTTCAGAAGCTTTAGCTGTTAACTCTTAAAAATTAATATTTTAAGGGTAAAATTTAAACAAATACTGGGCTATAACTTGGAAATAGAGGAAACTGCCATTCTATGGAATACACCACGTTTTTGAATTGTTTTTGAGTTTTTTTAATGGCTTTTAAAATAAGTGATTTGATGAATTTTTAAGTGACAATGTATAGAGCATTTTTAAAAATAAATAAATATTTATCCTTATAAAAAGTTCTTTCCTGATGTTTCAAATGCAGCAAAAATATTTCTGACATCATTCTAAACTCATTTGCTTTTAGGAAGTAAATTTCGGTTTATCCAGGTTCTCTGCCTCACCCAGTATTTGGACGAAAAATATATTAGGAAAAGTTTTTGAAGCATAAAATAAAATAGTAAAATTAATATTAAATTTTAAACATTAACACATTAAAGTTAAATATTAAACATAATAAAGTTATATTAAAAATTGTTTATCCGGGTTTTCTGCCGTGCCCCGTATTTGGACGAAAAATATGTTAGGAAAATTTTTGAAACATAAAGTAAAATTAGTATTAAGTTTTAAACTTTAACATAATAAAGTCAAATATTAAACATAATAAATTTATATAAAAATTGTTTGTCCGGGTTTTTTGGTCGAAACTTGTATTTGAACGAAGCTTATATTTGGGAAAGTTACTCAAAGTAAAACTGGTATTAAATTTTAAAAATTAAGCAGTGTGAAACAGAAAATGATACCGGGTAATCTTTACATTGGAAGAAATCAAAGAATTACTTGAAGTCTGTTTCCCACAGAAACAATTAAGAAGCATTTATTTTTTAATCTTTTTCGAAATAAATTTCTTTTCAATAGATCTAGGAAACTGCACCCCTCTTCACTTCGCTCATCAACCCCGAATGTTAAATTCGCCTTCATCATTGTTTTTCGCTTAAAACAGGTCAAACAAAACAAAAGCAAAGAACATTCTGAAAATAAATAAAAGAATTATTATATTTTTATATAAAAGCAGTAAATAATCACGAAAATTGAAAAAATAGCCTCCATAAAAAGATGCATAAACAGTCACCCTAGTTTGATGTATACAAGTTTAATATCTTTAAAAGAATGGAAAAAATTTAAAAGCCGTTTTCCCTCCGTTAGAACTGAGATATTTATTAGGAAAATAAATAAATAACCGTCATCTAACTCTTATCAATCAATTAAATAAACCGCCAATATGTACCGCAATAACCCAGGTTCGAATCCTGGTCACGGCACCAATTCTGTACCGTTACCTTTCAAACTTTGGCAAGGCTGTGATTTATTAATTGAATTTTGGTAACGGTTACCCAGGTTCACAAATAGACACTTGACNTGATGGCATGTCTTCGGATCATCCTCCGGGATGTTTCCCAGACCGTCGCCAATAGCCCATTGTGCAGCTCTAGTGCGACGTAAATTAACAACAACAACAACAACAATAATCATCTTGTGAGAACATGATTATCTTTATTATACAACTAAAAAATACTCTCTTTTTAAAACAGTTTGCCTATTTTGGAGATAAAATGCTTGGTGTTCACATTCTTCGATTATTTTTATTATTATTTTTTTTTAGAATTTTTGATTCTCTAGTCATATGTTATTTAGCGAAAATGGCTATACTCGCAACCTCCAAATCGCCCTATGTCTGTAACAGAATTTGAAAGCTTTGACAGAAGTGAACCCACTAAAATGGAAGTGTATTTTTTAAAATAAGTGCAATATTTGTGAATATTTGCTACAGTTTTGTGCATGCAACCGTTATAGCGACCTCTCGTTATAGCGTCAATTTTTCTTAACACCACGGAAATCGTTATAACGATGCTTCGACTGCATTTTTATTTTGCCTAGTATTTTTGTATACTTAATTTATTGTATCCACCGTATACTTAAACTGTCTGAAAAGTGATAACGCATACATATTGATACATTTATTACCAAATGCTTTTAATAGAACATAAAATATTACTACTTTGCAATTGAAAGATTTTTAATTTCTTCGGCACAGTATTCGTTTTTTAGTATTTTGTTTCGTAGGAAATGTTTTTGACAGCTCAGGTAATTGTAACAGGTGGTAATGGAACTTCTTGACATAGAATAACGAAAATTAATCTTTATACTTTCTTTTTTTACGTTATTTCACGTATATCAATTTCCCAGTGATGTTGGCACTTTAAAAGGAAAGTGTTTAAGATATTTATTTTGGTATTTTTCTATGATTTTAAGAAGGAAATGTTATCATTAATTTCTTTAAATTTATTAAACATTTTATTCCTACGTTACTGAATATTTTTATAAAATGAATTCTATCTATTATTGTAGCAAGGGATTAAATTGTTGAATTAATTATTGGATTGTTGTTTATTAATTATTTTATTGACTGTTTAATTGTTTGTGAACTGGTTAATCAAATAGACTGCGTTAGAATCTATAACAGTTCATTCCTATTCTCTTGCGAATTGAAATAATAAGTGATTAGAAACAAAATATAACCAGATAATATTATAACCAAAGACAAAACCAAGTTAAGTATAATTTGGGAGGAAAAAAATGAGTAAATATGAAAAGTGATATTATAATTTATCAATGCTCATTATATGGACAGAGCTCAGCACACAATTAAAATAAGAGGACATGAAATATCAGCTCTGAAAGTTTAAAAAAAAATATCTCCACTATTTTCAAGAAAAATGTTAACGATAGTGCGAAATCGTTCAATTACTCTCTACACAAAAGTCTGGTTTCTCTAAAGCAATCGTTTCAGTAGGATAAATTACGTAGATTCGCTACGTAGAATTACGTAGAATCGCTATTTCTGAAAATATCAGTAGCTCCTCTGTATCGCTGTAAAAAGGGGGCACTTTAAAATCAATTAAATTTATTTATTAATAATTAAATTATTATTCTTAATTAAAGAAACACAGCTAATTATGTAAAGATCGAAAATAACAATTGGGTAACTGCATTCAAGAAGAATGCAGGGGCCTACACATGTGACCTATGATGCCAGCGCCAGTTGATCGCTCATAAGCAAATTGGCATGTTGAAATAAGCAAGTTGAATAATTGGCAAGTTGAAATAAGTTTCTCTACATAAGTTAGACTGCTGATTAACGTGAAATTAATTAAATATAGCGCTGTATCGCACATCGAATTTGCTGAAATATATTTCCTTCTCGCCTACGTCTTTTACTTAACTAAGATTTGTTATTTATTTATCTATTTATTTATGTATTTTATTTCGTGAAACCTGGGAAATTCAATGCATAAAAAGTTATGTTCTACGTGGCTTCGTGCCTGTCTTTATTTGTAAGTAAGAATTATATAGTGATAGAATGTAGAATGTACTAAATGCTTATTACGTACACGCAAGAGAATTGAATCCTGACAGGCTTGACTTGCTCAAAAGAGACCGGAAAGAGTTGTGGCTAACGTAAACAGATGCCACGTTTTAACAACCAATCAGTATCGAGATACCGCACTACGTCACTCGCAGGTATCCCATCGCTATACGAAACCAATGAAAGGGGAAAGAAAAACTCGGAGTCAACCACAAGTTCAGGTTACAATCAGGTGACTTCATCTTGTCCATGGCTCAAGGATAATTGTACACTCTCTACCCGACTATTAAAATATCCAAAATACATCGTATTTTGTAATAAGATCTATAATATGTAGTTCCAGAATCTTTACCAAAATAAGGTAAATAAAAATAAAAAATCTATGTACATTAGTGATCACAAACTAATATTTAAATGCGTTTAAGACAAAACGCTATTGATATCCACTAAAGAACGCCGCACAGAAAACTTCGAAACCTTTTCAATTGACGATACAAAATGGCGATAAGTTGAAATATATTATTTTAGAAACACCAAAATTAATTAGGCAATAGAGAGTGGTTCTAATGTTTCTCTTTCCACTTTTATTGATGTTTTGGCTTCTTCAGCGCTTAAATACTGATAGGTAACTTCCAACGTGTATACTTTTCAATTTTGATAAAGTTTCTTAAAATAAATATTATGGACGTACATTGCAGAACATCCTAATTAAGAATCAGGTTGATAATCACGATAGTTAACAAAAATATTGATTCACAATTTGACTTACTACAAATAGGAAAACAATTTACTACGAACACAAATAATGAGTTAACTAATAAATGATTTTAAATTTTAAAAAATTGAAGGTTAATATATTTTCGAACAAGAAATGTAATTGTAAACCATTTCACTGCATGCAATTCAAACGCAATTATTTTCAAGATTGACACAAATAGAATTTAAAAGAAATTAATGCCACACATGCGAAAATTGTATTTCATACTCCACTCTAATATTAATATAAATCTCATTAATATCAATACTTGGAAAAATGTGATATCTGTCGCGCATAAGAATGCACAATGGGTTTTAGTTCCACTAAAAATTTTCCTTTTTTGAATACCGTGACATGTGTCATTTTTAATTTACTATACACATGTGGCACAAAACTATATATATACTATTTCAAACGGTGGAATATAGTGACTTGGAGTCAGGTAAAAATAGCGGGTGATAGTCAGGTAAGCTAATTCTTCTACTAAAGTATCAACATGCATGTTAGCCAAATGGTTGTAGCTTTAGCTGTTGCTAAAAGAGACGCCGATCTCGATGCCGAGTTTGAGGAATCTATGGAAGAAATAGAGTCTATGAAAAAGAAATGCAAGGCTTTAGAGTACGCTACTCATACAACGGGACTCGTTACCAACCTTATTGGTGACATTCCAGACATTCCATTAGTGACCGAAACAGTCCAAGTAGTTGCATCAGGGGTTGCTGCAGTAGCCCACGTTGCTGAGTATGGAATGAATATAGCCTCAACAGCAATGGAATGCGATGATTGGAATTTCGAAGAAGTAAAGGCGATCATGGAAAAAAGATTCAGTGAGATTGATAGAAAACTAGATAAAATGACAGAAGCGATGGAGCGAGTAACGGAGATGGCCACTAAAACCTACGATGCTGTTGAAAAAACTAGGGAAGAAATGAATTGGGGATTTAAAAACATACTGACAACGCTTAAAAATCGCGAGGTACTACCTATACTGAAAAGAATGAATAAATTTTCGCGATACTTTGAGGAAATGAGAAACGAATTGAGCAAACTACCAGAAAACCAATTCATATTCAGGTTGACGAAAAAAGACAACATTCTTGATTATTTGAAAATTGCAAGAAAACCTGAAGGTCTGCACTCCGATTTACTTGAGCTCATGGATAAAAATTATAATTACGCTATTCCTACTGATGCAAAGGATTCTAAAGCATTTCAAGCACTTTATGCCTTATTTTACGGTACGCAAACGTATGCAGCAGTAATGTTTTTTCTCCTAAAACAACATGCCTATTTAGCGGATTACTATTATCAAGACGGCCAAGATAAAAAATTTAACGAACAATTTGAAATCATGGTAGCTACATTTAATGAATTTAAAACATCCCTTACTGGAAGCCATGGTGTAATTAACGAAGTCGTTAAATCAGTAGATGAAGTAAAAAACAAAGATTTCATTAAAGATGTTAAGAATGAGTTATACGAAGATATTTCTCGAAGAGGAAGTATCCTAAATGAACTGAAATCCAAAATTACAGGAATGGAATTGAATATTATAGAAGATACACCAGAACCCGTATTTGATTATGACTTTACTGAACCAGTCATTCCCTCTAACTATTTGGACTGGGAGGACAAATCTAAAATACGATACGCTGTGCAGTTTAAAAGTACGGACGGTACCTATTCTAGATTCAGCCAGTGGATGGAACCTATAAAGGTAGACGGAAAAGCAAACCCAACAATTAAAGTCCATAGAGACGAACGTGAAAGATCAAGGCTTGTTTTCCGAAAAATTAACGATGGAAAACCTCAATTAATAGGAGTTTTAACAAAATCTCAGGTAGAATTTCGAGATGTTGATCGAGATCTTTACGAAGCTTCAAGAGCTAAGGATCAAAGTAAAGGATTAGAATGTATCCCTAAGTTAATCGAGGCAGGTGCTTATATAAGTGCAAGATTTGAAATGAATAGATGCGTTATGCACGGCGCAGCTGAGAGTGGAAATGCAAAAATTGCGTTGCGGTACCTTATAGATGACAGAATAGGAGAGATTCTGGATGCAAAAGATGACAATGGTTTTACTCCAATGCATGTTGCTGCGAGTACTAGGAATGCTGGTTTTGTGAAGTTTTTAGGCGACCGAAACGCAGACGTAAATGCCCAGACAGCAGAAGGATTAACACCACTACATATTGCTGCGAAGAACGGCTTCTACATCTCAGCTCAAAATTTACTTGCTTATGAAAGAACTGAAATCAATAAACCAGAAAAATCTGGTTATACACCTTTACATTACGCTGTACGTGGTACAGCAAAAACCATTAAACTTTTGCTTGCTGATGAACGGATTGAAGTAAATGCCCTATCTGATTTTGGTCTGACACCTTTTCACTTGGCTGTCATGAAAGGTAACCGAGAAATTTGTGATGCTTTATTAAGCAGTGGGAAAGTCGAAGTGAATACTGGAAACAGAGATGGCATGACTCCTTTGCATTTTGCAGCTTTAGAAGGGAATGCAGACATGATTCAGTACCTTCTTTCAGGGAAGAAAGAAGTCGAGAGAGTAAACCCTAATGCCGCTACCCCGGCTAGTAATTGGACACCACTTTATTTTGCTATTTATTTTAAGCAAAAAGATGCTGCACTTGAACTTCTCAAAAGTAACAATGTTGATATCAGTATATCTTCTAAAGAAAATGTATCACCCCTTCAACTTTCAATTGCAAACGGGATAACAGAAGTGTTCGATGAATTGTTGAAAAAGAATCCTAATCTGGAGGCAACGTCAAACGAAGGTCTTACTGCTCTTCATGTCGCTGCCTTACGTCCGGAGACTGTTTTTACTTCAAAGTTACTTGACAAAAACGTTAATATAAACTCAGTGTCCAAAGATGGCTCGACTCCTTTACATTTAGCATCGAAGGCTGATAAGAAAGATCAGATATCCTTTTTAATAAGCAAAGGAGCTAATATGAAATTATATGATAATCAGAATTTCTTACCAATACAGTATTCAATTAAAAATATTAATTTGCAAGCAATGAGAGAAGCTATAAGTCAAGATCCAAGTATAGTTGATGGACATACTCAAGAAGGGCGAGATGTATGGATGTACTGTCTTCAGTTTATCATCGGAGCCGTCAGCCATTATCGAAGGAACCAAGATTCAAATGAGTATCGAAAATACAAAGACTTAGAACCATTCGAGGTTTATAATAAATTGGGTTATTACGATTTACTAAGAATCGTAGTTAATAATTCGTCGACGGAAGCTTATGTTCAAGCAACAATGGATATTGCTGATCGAACTGCTAGAGTGTGCATAGAAAAAGAAAAAAACCCTGATGCCGAACCATGCTTACTTATGGATGTTCGCTCAAAGCGTAACATTGAAGCTGTTGATTCAAAAGCCTATCTGTATCCAAAAATACGTCCAATAAAGGAAACTATTCACAATCTCATCGAAACGAAACTATCCAATAGCAGTAGCTCTTTTCCAAATGCAAAGAGCTCATTGGTTCAAAGTATGGATGCTAATGGAATATTGCTTCTGGTGGATCTTCTTGTTAGAAAACTCACAAATGAGAAGTATAATATGAAATTGAAAGCTCCGATGTCTGCATTAGAATCTCAAGTCACCGCATTGGAAATTGTGGAAAAAGTTAGTAATTTTGTAGACAGCGTTAGTGATGTGAAAGCAGAAGAGTTAATCGATCTTGCAAAATTGCACTCAGATGTATACAAATCCATAGAAGGTGGAAATAGCAATATGATTCTCAGTCTTCTGTGTGACCAGTTGAGGAGTATTGTAGATCCTGAGAGCCTGGAGGAATTCCTTTCAGATCTTGTTTCCGATGTTCCAGGGGGCCAGGATGCTTTTAAGACCGTAAAAGAATATTGCTTGTCTGAAACTAAAAGCGAATGATGTTTTCTTTCGAAATCGTTTCCTTAATTTTCTGTTTCCCAGGGTAAAACTAAAATTTCACACCCACTATTTTAATTAATGCATGCTTTCCTTTTCTCTAAAGTAAAGTAACTAATGTTACCAAAGCACTAAACAGTATATGCATTTTCAAAAAAATATTCCATATGTAACATTTCTTATGAAATTTTTATGGGCAAATATTTATGAAACAATTTTGTCAATTTTTATTAATTAATGAAATAATTAAACTTTAAGCTAACATAATAGTTTTTCTTTGTTGCGTACAATAAACACATCCTCTCAGAAAATACTAACACTAAAAATACACAAATTAAGAATATGCTTATTGATAAAATATGCATTAAGTAAATGTTTGTCAACACTAACTATAGAAAATTTTCTGAATGATTCAATTGATTGTGGTTGAACAATAGCTATTTTTGGTGCACTTTTCAAAAATATAACAATTAATATCATTATAACAATTTATTTTCTAAATAAAATCGTACAAGCAATCGTTTGACATTTATTTTTTCCCTGGAGGACGCACTAGGGTAATGAAATGATTCAAAATTAAATTCAAACATAAGACTGCTAATAAACGTTATACTTTTAATATAGAAAATAAAATTTTTAAGTCATAAATATAGTCATAATAACTTAATAACATAATATAATTCAGTCATAAATATTTATTTCTTAATTATTTAAGACTTTTTACCTTCTTTTTTCACAAAATTTTTGTAAAACATGAGAATATAAATCATTAAGTATACTATTATCAGTATACTGAAGTAAATATTATTACTAGTACACTATTAGAATTATAAAATAGACTATTAAATCATCATTAAGTTTTACACGATGCAATTGATTTGATGCCCATATGAATGCATATAATGATTTTCATTTATATTTTGTTTCCTTGGATATAACTAGAGCATAATGAAATTAAATATTTCTTACAAACAGAATTTGAACACAAATTTAAGATTCTAGTAGTTCCCGATTTTTTCGGGAAATAAACTTCCATTTTTGAGCAGTTTTTAACTTCTCCTTTGGTGACTCCAGGCAATGACTATAATATATTATGAATTTGTAATTCATGATTCAAACTCTGATTATTCTAGCAGAAGAAGCTGGAAATACCATAAATTTATTTATAAAACACAGATTGGAATTGGGAAAAAAGGATAAACAAGTTGCTAGTTTTTAAAGTAAACAGAACTTCTGGAATACGTAAAATGACCCCCGCGTGTCTTGCCGGATAAATAGTATCTTAAGACTTTTTTTTGAAGGCTCCACCGTCATATGAAATTATGCTTTTTTTGCGAATAATATGCTATTTTATAACTTCTGCGAGTTTATAACAGTTACTCAAGACTGCTAGGTCAAATGCAGCTTATCTACAGTCGGCGCTGTCTTTGCTTATTCTGAAAATGGTGCAAAATTGCGCAATATGGAGAATAGCCACAGTTTCGTGAAAATGTATATATTTTTGAAATGTTATATAAGTCTTGTATAAATTTTTTATTCAAAAACTTACTCCAATGATGCATTATCTGGACTCATAAAAAGCTGCAAAAAATGAGAATAAGGCGTTACTTTTGATAATTTTAATCGAGGTGGAAAAATGTCGTCTAACTAGGGATTTTTTAAAAAAAGTTTAGTTATTTTTAATATAAGTAAGCCCAGATAATTCTTTATGGCAAGATGGTACATACAGTTTAAAATTGTTCCAATTTTAAAACTCCTAAACTGTGACTTTTTTTTTATTTTCCTTGGTGAAAGTACTTCGAAAAACCATGTTGAATGTGGTTCTTGAACTGCAAAATTTATTTTCCGCGCATTGGGCGAAATTTCTGCAATTCTAATTCCACCTCAAGTTTACATTTTCATAATTTATATCTACGAAACCAAAGTAGAATAGACAAAATTCTTAACATAAATTATTTAATAACGAAAATAACTAACGACATAAAAAAATTTTAGATTGATTACGAATAGAACATCGGTACTTTCCTTTTTAGATTAAGGCTCATATATAATGAAGAAGTGCAATACTCCTACATTGGAAAATTAGCATGTACTTAAACAATTTTTTGTCACTTTTTAGATGGAATACCATTATTAGACAAATTACTTTTACCTTGCACTTTTTTCTGCTAAAAATTATATTTTGCTGCTTTTGCAAATACTATAAAAAATATGCAAATACTTTACTTGATTTCTAACAAAATTTGATAAGACAGTGATAGAAGAAATAGATATTTTTTTAGCAAATAGTTATGCTGTACTTATCTTTTTGATCAGAAATATATGGAAAAAATATTTTTAAAAAAACTCTTACAATTTGTTGAATTTTGCGATTATAGTATCATAAAAACATACAACAAAACTTTAACTATAGTAATAAAGTTGCTGCTGTGTTAATGAAATGTTTTAAAAATATTTTCTACGTACATTTATTAATTTTATTTATTTGAAGCTAGTTTGTAAAGATTACAATTGAGCTATAAAAATATAAATTCATCTATCCTGCTGCTTTCGTAAGTAACATAAGAAAATGCAAATACTTTACTAGATTTCTAACATAAATTTTATGAGGCAGTAATAGAAGAAATAGACATTTTTTATAACTTATATTTAATCTATTCTTATCTATCTTTAACAGAAATGTACGGAAAAAATATTTCCTAAACAAACAATTTCAATCTGTTTAAATTTATGATTCTAATATTATAAAAACATTCAATAAAGCTTTCATTATTACCGTTTAAGTCCTATGTTGTTACTGTTTATATAAATTTTTTGAAAATATTTTACATTTACCTTTATAAGTTTTGTTTATTTGAAACTAGTTTACAAAAATTTAAATTGTCTTCTGAAAAATATAAATATTTTCATTGTACTAAATAACCAAGAACTAAAAATTTTTAAAAGCAGTCATGCTCAAAAATGTATAATAGCTTCTATTAAATACTTTATTATCCATGAAAATATTTGAATTGTATTATCTATGAAATATATCATTATAGCAGTTTATGGACCATTTTTAAGATTCTGTCTTTGTTATGTTTCAAATAAGAATGAACTTTAAACTATGTAGTTGTAGATGACACAACTTGTAGATGACACAAAGATGTTTGTGAAAGAAAATTGCTACTAATTATTGGAAGTTTAGTCACTATTTCACCAGTATTCTAGAGTTTGTAATGTCGTGGATTGATGTTTAATTTCTAATGAAAACACGAATTAATTACGCGTCTCAAGAAAAAAAGGGGTGCATTGCTATAAACTTGACTGTCGTATTAAGAAAATAAATATCTTGTAAATTCGAATAGTTTCATTGTCTTAACGTCTTTATGACGTGTTTTACTATGTCAGCATTTTCAATTAGTCATGACATAACTTTCATATTTATCCATTTATAGGAATTTAAAAGCATAATTTAATACTTGTGTAAAATTTAACTTTTTTAAATATTTGGAAGGAAATTGTCTTATGGAACTCATATAGTGCATGGTGTTCTACTGTGATCTTTGCTTTTAGAATATTTATCAAAAATGAAATAAAAAATTTGCACTTGAGTCACTGTGAATTTGCTTTCAAGAACGAAACAATAAAAACAGTTCAGTTTGATAAAAACAGTTCAATGAGACAAATCCAGACTATTCTTTTATTTCAATTCGTAAATGATCTTACTTACTCGATGATATTAATCTTTCTAAAATTGGATTCTTGGATTTAAAAAGATCCAGAGATTTAATAAGCGTCGAAACAGACTAATGCAACCAAAAATTATCTTGTTGCAAAATATCTCATGAAAGATGAGCTTTGGAAAAAATTGCGTTAAGTGACACTTAAGTAAATGTGAATACATTATTAAGTATAGGAATATCTAGAAGTTGCTCACAGAATATCTGTATGGAGTTACTTTTTGTTACCCTGTTCAACTGTAATTGCCGAAATTCGTTTTAAGAAGAACAAATATCGCTAACTATTGTTGAATAGTAGGAAAAAGTAAAATCTAAGATAGGGAATGTTAGTTACTACATATTTAATCTATATTATATAAAACGCTAATACGTACGTATGTATGTATCAATAAAACCGATGATATTTCTTTTCTCGCGCTGGCAACAGTTTTCATTTTTAATTGATTGGATTCGGCGCACAAGAGCACGTAGTGAGCAACCAGATAACAATAACCAGAGTGAGCATTATCAGGTTGTTCAATTCAGATTCATGCACTAAAAACATGACAATATTTAATTTGAACTCAGTTAGGAATTAATTAATTAATTGAAGTGAGAATGCTTTAAAAGGCCGCTGTTGAATTGATATTTTTCTACTGGGAGCTACCTAAACGTCTAAAAAACGTTTAAGTGTTTGTATTGAATGCATTGAATTTTTTTATATTTCGCGTTTATTTATGCATTGAATTTTCACGCTTTAAAATGCAGAATATTAGTGAAGCAATATTTGATAATTTATTTTGCTAATATGTTTCTTATTTAGCTAATGTTTTGATTTTTTCACCATGTACAATCTAAATAGCTAATATACTTTTTTAAAAGTTAATAAGAACATTGGTAGAATTCATCTACATAAGTACAATACTATGTCTTTGATGATAAAATACTATGTCTTTGATGATAATATATTATGTCTTTGTGCAAGAACATTGTGTTCAAATTCGACGCAGAATGTACTGATCTTTAACTTTGATTTTCATTGAATTTTGTGTAGAAGACATTTTTTTAGATATTTTGTGGCAAAAAGTAAAATAAGTGCTGAAAATGTTGCAACTTTTTTGTTTGAGAACTAGTTCAAACCAAAAACCTGATTTGATTGCATTAAAACAGAGGTCGCCAAAGTGGTCTATATAGACCCCCAGGGGTCTATGTAACAAAAGCGGAGGTCAATCCAAATCAGAAGGGTCGATTGGGGGTCGAAGAAAAGACAGTTACGCGAATCACATATGCGAATCACACATGCCTAATTGAGTATGTGAAATGTGTGAATTTTTTATAATTGACTTATTACTATCAAATTCTTTATAGAACATAAATTAATAAACGTATATTTATTCGGGTGAAGCAAGTATTTACGTACCAGCCGCACGAACTCTGCACTTCTGATTTATAAGTCAATGTGCTCTTGTCCAAATGTCACGTGTGACGAGCATTGACGTTACAAACGCAAATATCATAATCAGTTTCAGTTATCTTTGCAAACTGTGTTGAATATTTGCAGTGTCATTATTAAAACTTTCATATACATATAGGTCATCTTCAAAAATTGAGCGATGATTTTAAACTGCGCTTTGCTGATTTGGAAAACATTGACATCCCTGATTAGATTATTGTGCACATTTTCTGCTTGAATTGAAAACGTGGGCATCAACCTGAAAGATGAGCTTGCTGAATTATTATCGGATCTTGAAGCAAAGACACTTTTTAAAAATTTAACAATAAGTAAATTTTGGACAAATGTAAATATAATGCAAAAATATGTAAAACTTTATGAAATAGCTCATCCATTTATGATAGCATTTCCAAGTTCCTATATGGTTGAAGCCGGTTTCAGTCACGTAAATTCAATCTTAACTAAGTACAGAAATAAATTAAATGTGGAGTTTCGAGGGAATTTAAGATTAAAATTGACCAATTTTGAACCCAATATAGAGAACCTTGCAAAAAAACACCAGGCACACCCATCTCATTGTTTAAGAAGCAATAAATCTGTAGTTACTTTACTTATTTTTTCACAAAACTATTGTAACTCAATGTACTATTACTTTAATAAATGTTTAAAATCATAAAATAAATGTACAAACACAGTATCTAATAGAGTTTTATTTTAATTAACAGAAAATTACTTTTATGGGGGTCGATAGAAATTTCGAAAAATTATGAAGGGATCGATGATCCAAAAAAGTTTGGCAACCCATGGGTTAAAGATTTAAAACAAAAAAAAATATTATGAAAACACTAATTATACACTAAGTATTCCTGCGATATTATTGTATTTATGGAAAACATATTTAAAACAATTTGTAACTTATCAATCATTTTACAATTAGTGAATAACAAATAAATTAGATTTATTTTTATAATAAGCTGTATACAAAGCAATGCCTAGTCAAGATATGAAATAGAAATAATTAATACAAAAAATGTATAATATATTTTAGAGTTAACTTTATGCACAGTGAATATATAATCGCTTTACCAAAAAACATTCTACAAGCTTTCATTGTAAACAAAAAAATTAAAAATTTAAAAAAAGAAAAGGAAAATAAATTTTAAAAAATGGAGTTACAATTGTAATAAAACAGAGCAAGGTTTCAATTTTCTTTTAATGGAATCCATAGCAAAATAAATATTAATAAAATAAATATTTCGTAGTCTTTTAGATGAATAATTTTTAATTTCAATTCCACGATCTGCTAAAACCTGTTTATCCTTCAGAGATAGAAATGATTTAATCGAAATTGTGGGTTTGGCGGGAAAATCGTGCAGGAGCCAAAGCCTCTTAGTCATAACCAAATGGATAAAACTGGCTAATATTTATTTATTTATTTATTTGGTTTCTGTTAAAAGATATTTTTAAACAGATCTTAGATATTTTCATATCTCTTATTTTAAACCTGCTATCGGTTTCTCTCTCCAAGCTGCTTTGAAATGTTTTTAAGTTTAAAAACAATATATATATTAGGAGGTCGCATAACTATTGTGACAATATTCTAAAAGAATTAGGGGAACATAATCAGGATTAAAATGGCATAGAAACCGTCTCCCAGAAATGACTTCATACGCTGATAGGGACTCTTCCTTATTATACTTATTATAAACTGTTTCTTTTCCTTGTGCTTCTGAACAGGTCTTAATAGGATAGCACCCCGAATCGCGTGCGGTGACATTTCTGGGCATGGGTTCATATGCAATTTTAATTTTGATTGTGTGCCATTACTCCCCTAGAACAGTGTTTCCCAAAGTGTGGTACGTGTACCCCCAAGGGTGCAGGAACAGTTCAGCGGGAGTAAGCGTTCTTATGCGAAATGCCTTGCAACAAATGAAATTTTCAAAAAAAATTCTTTTAAAACAACACTAGCCATGAAAGCTTACGATTACGTATTTTTCTATTGCCTATTTTTTGCAGAGTTAACAGTTAATAATTAGTGGTGTCAACAGCCAGTTGTGATTTTTAATTTTTGTGCAATTTTTTTTATAGTAACAAATACATTCATTTTTTCATTAGTGGTACACAGAGTTAAAAAAATTTAGAAAGTGTCATAAGTTTGGGAAACACTGCCCTAGAACAACTTGTCTCAACATTTATGTGATCCCCTGTTGAAGGAAACATTTTTGCACATTTCGATAAAAATAGTATAAATATATGTCATTTAAAAAGAAATCCATAGTTTTACGAGTAAAAATTATTTTTAAATTTGAAAACCTCTCACCCGAATCAGGCAAGATGCAAGATCAGTATAAATTCAACGAAAATAATGCTCCCTAGTGTAATTTATATAGGTCATACAAAAATGCAACACGGCTTAGCAATGAATATTTAAAGTTTTGTAATTTAAAGAAGGAACAAGATGAACAACGGAAAATGTCATTTTACTAAAATAAGAAAAATAATGCAACTAATCTTATCGTTTAAAAATGGGATTACAATATTTTAAAATATAAATTGCTGTGCAAAAATCTCTTCTGAAATCAAATAATAAACAAAATTCCCTTAAATCATAAAAAAATTAACTCGATATTTCATATTGACATTAATAAAAATAGAAATAAATTTCAATTTACTAATGTCATGGATATATATCCTGCATTTACAATGTATTGTATATCAACATTTCACAGAAAAACTCATTATATCAAGATTTGACAGAATTTATCAGAAACTAAAAATTCACATATGGTCTATCGTAATTTCAAACACATCAAAACTTTGACACTAGTATCTAATTAAAATACCTGGACATCTGCAAAATAAGTAATTATCCACAGGTGGAACTCAAATATAAGTACTCCTAAATAATTTTTTCTCCTTCACTTGCTAAAAGAACCTTTTAATGTAAAGATAGATAAACCAACTTTCATCGAACTAACGAAATGCGTATCAACAAAATTTTCAGAGTTGAAGCTGTTGCTAAAAGAGACGCTGACCTCGATGCCGAGTATGAAGAAGCAATGGAAGAAATTGAGTCTATGAAAAAGAAATGTAAGGCTTTGGAGTACGGTACTCATACAACAGGTCTCATAACCAATCTAATCGGAGATATACCAGACATTCCTCTTGTCACCGACAAGGCAAAAAAAATTGCTGCAGGCGTATCTGCAGTAGCTCACGTAGCTGAATATGGAATGAATATTGCCTCGACAGCGATGGAATGTGATGACTGGAATTTTGAAGAAATAAAAGCAATTATGGAAAAGAGATTTAGTGAGATAGACAGAAAACTTGACAGAATGGCACAAGCTGTGGAAAAAGTCACCAAAATGGTAACTGAAACTTTATATGGAGTTGAGAAAACTCGCGAAGAGATGAAATGGGGATTTAAAAACATACTAGCAACTCTGAAAAATCTCAAAATACAATCAATATTAAGTAAAATAAATAAATTCTCTCGATATTTTCAAGAAAAACAAGACGAAATAGGTAGGCTGCCGGCGGATCAATTCCTATTTCGTTTAAAAGAAAAAGACGGTATTCTTGACTTCTTGAAGAAAGTGAGGTTGCCAGAAGGTTTGCATTCAGATCTGTTTGATCTAATGGACAAAAACAATAATTTTGCGATTCCTGAGAATGCTGATGATTCCAAAGCATTTCAAGCTTTGTATGCTTTATTTTATGGAACGCAGACTTATGCTGCAGTTATGTTTTTTCTTCTAAAACAACACTGTTATCTTGTTGACTTCTACTATCAGAATGGCAAAGACGCACAGTTCAATGATCAAATAACTCTTTTAATCACAACCTTTAATGAATTCAAAACATCCTTAACTGGAGACAGGGGTTTAATTAACAACGTCATTAAAACTTTGGACGAAGTTAAGGACAAGGTTTTCATTCCAGATGTCAAGAATGAGTTATATGTAGACATATCAAAGAGAGTAAATACTTTAAAAGAACTAAAGTCTAAAATTGCAGGTATGGTCTTAAATGTCATAGAGGACATGCCACAACCTGTTGATAATATCGGCTTCTCAGTGGTAAGTGTTATTCCATCTAACTATGGAGATTGGGATGAGAAGGCAAAAGTAAGTTACGCTGTACAGCTAAGAAAAGATGGTGCTTACTCTAAGTTTAGTCGATGGTCTGAGCCTATGAAAGTGGAGAATCAAGCAAACCCTGTAGTTACAGTACCCAGAGACGAACAAGGAAGAGAGAGGCTTATTTTTCGAAAATTTAATGAGAACAAGCCTGAGCTAGCATACATTTTAACGAAATCTCAAGTGGAATTTCGAGATGTTGATCGAGATCTTTATGATGCAGCGGGAAGTAGAGATCAAATGAAAGCTTTGGAATATATTCCTAAGTTACTTGAAGGAGGAGCACACATTAATGCGGTTTTCGAAACTAAAAGAAGCATCATGCATGCTGCCGCTGAAAGTGGAAACGTAAAAATTGCAATGCGATACCTTATCGATGAAACACAAGATGATCTTTTGAATGCTAAGGATGAAAAAGGATTTACTCCGCTACACGTTGCAGCTGGCACGAAAAACGCTGGATTTGTAAACTTCTTGATCACTCTTAAAGCAAACGTGAATGTCCAAACAAATTCCGATAGTTTAACACCACTCCATATAGCTTCGAAAAAAGGGTTTCAAAATGCGGTTAAGCATCTACTTGCTGCAGAAAAAATTGAAATTAATCAACAAGAAAAATCGGGCTATACGCCTTTACATTTTGCTGTACGTGGTACCCCAAAAACTATCAAACTCTTGCTTGATCAGGAAAATATCCTAGTTAATGCAAAGTCAAATTTCGGCCTGACTCCTTTCCACTTGGCTATCATGAAAGGGGATAGAGACATATGTGATGCATTGTTAAGTAGTGGCAAAGTAGATGTAAATGCTGGAAATAAAGATAATCTAACACCACTTCACTTCGCTGCAATGGAAGGAAATATAGATATGATACAGTACCTTCTGTCAGGAAAGAAAGAAGTTGAGGAAGTAAATATCAGTGCTGTAACGTCTGATAATAATTGGACACCACTTTATGTGTCTCTATATTTCAAACAGGAAGATGCAGCCCTTGAATTTCTTAAAAACAGCAGGATTGATATTAGTATATCTTCCAAAGAAAATGTAACACCACTTCAGCTATCTGTTGCAACTGGACAAATGAAGGTGTTCGATGAAATATTAAACAAAGATTCTAATCCTGACGCAGTATCAAAAGATGGATTTACTGCCTTGCATCTAGCAGCTTTGAGGCCAGAGACCAATTTTACTGCAAAATTGTTGGTTAAAAATGCTAACATTGATGCAAAAACAGATGATGGTTCTACTCCTTTACATTTGGCGTCAAAATCTGACAACACAAATCAAATCATACTTTTAATAAACCAGGGGGCAAATATGAAACTGTATGATAAGAAAGAACTTTTACCATTTCAACATTTTATAAAAAATGTAAATCTTGAAGCTATGAGAGCAGCGGTAAATAAAGATCCAAGTATTGTTGATTTTTTCACAGATGAAGGTCTTGCTATAGGGAAGTATTGTTATAATTATATCTTTAGCAAGATCTATGATTATTACGATAATAAAGATTCTATTCAGTTTCAAAAATACAAAGATTTACCACCGTTAGAAGTTTTCAACAAGATGGGTTACTATGAAATACTGAGAATTGTAACAAATGATCCTTTGGCAGATATTTTAGTCAACTCGATAATGGAAACAATTAACAAAGGAGTTCGAATGTGCTTTGAAAGAGAAGAAAAAACAAATGAAACACCATGTAATTTTACAAGCATTCGTATGAAGCGTAATTTTGAATCAATTGAATTGACAAAGCTGCAACCAACGCATTTTTCTACAAACTCTGGCAGTACTAGTAAGAATTTAAACAGTAAAAGCTCCTTTGACGCGAAACTAGCTGATGATCGGAATCATTTTCCAAATGTTAAAAACTCTTTCGGGCAAAATATTGATACTAATGGAATTTTGCTGTTGATGGATCTTTTTGTTCGAAAATTCACAAATGAGAAGTACAAATGGAATGTCAAAGAACCGTTGTCGACTTTAGAATCTCAAGCTGAAGCATTGAAAATTACCGAAAAATTTAGTGAATTTGTAGACAGTGTTAGCGATGTACCAGCAGAAGAGTTGGTAGATCTCGCTAAGTTGCATTCAGATATATACAAATCCATTGAAGGTGGAAATAGCAACATAATTCTGAATATTCTATGTGAGCAGATGAAGAGTATTTTAAATCCTGAGCAAATGGAAGCTTTCTTTTCAGATCTCGTTACTAATGATCCTGGCGGAGCATCTGAAAAACAAAACCCTCTTAACACTGTAGCGCAACACTGCTTGTCAGAAACAAAAAAAGGCAATACAAACTAAATTTACGAAATGTCTTCACTGCTGGTGGTAATTAAATTTCTAATTCAAAATTGCTTCTGAGCTTTTTGGAACTATTTTCTAACCTTACTAATTATTGATTTATGTAATTTATCATACTAAGTATAGAATCTGAGAAAGCAGAAGTTTTCTTGTCCGATCTTGTTTCAGTATTCCGGTTCAGAGCCCCAAATTCAAAAGTCTATTACCACCTTAAAGCAACTAGGCTTGAGTAATATTTATACTCCAAAATGTTTCTTTTTTTATCCATGATTTATCAAGCTCTATAAAATTTATTTTGCAATACAAATTATGGAATTTCATGCCATTATCTTCCCTTTTATTAATAATCTAAGCACACAATTTGTAACCCAAAAGTTTGTTACTCAATTCATTCATAAAAGTTTGCTTCCGGAACTCTTCAACCGGATATTTTGCTGCTCTCTTTAACCCGAATAACCCGAATTTATGTTAATGTTATATTTCTATTAGATACTTCGTATAATATAAATTGTTTTAGTTTTTTTGAATTAATCAAATCTCATTTTTCAATTTAATTATTATTATTTAAAATATATATGTATGGAAATTTTTAGGTTCGTGTTCAACTAAGGTTTTTTAGGTTTTGATCGATTTATAAACTAAGGAAAATTGCCTATTTGGAAAAAAAATTATATATAAGAGAGGCTTTTTTGAAAGAACAATAAACAAGTTTAACAATTTACAAGTTTAACAATTTAAACTAATCAGCATATATATATTTATTTATTTCATGAGGCTTTCAATACGAATTCTACATTTTATGCTTTCAAATATATAAATATATCCAAGGAGAATATAATACTTAAATAATAAAAAAAATAGTTTGAACTAAGTGAAAATTGAAAATAACTGAGATGCGGTCAGAAACAGTGCGATTGGATGAATAAATGTTACACTTAAAAAATTTGTTTATAAATTATTTTAAGTATAAAACTAAATTTTTTATAACTTCATATGACTGTAATTAAAAACACAAGCATATTGTTTTCTTAAACTGAAAACATTTGTCATAGAAACTAATGTATTTTTATGACACAATTTGTATTACAATTTTGTGTAAGTTGTTTATAGGAAACATGTACCGTTTTTGTTATATTTCTCCTGTGAAATTTTACGGTACAAATGGATTTTATGGTAAAAAGTACTGACACCCCTAGACCCGGTAATTTTAATCGTAATTTTTAATGATTTTTTATGCTTATTCTATAAGTTTGAAAACTAATGCTTATGTGGACGAAAGGTACATTTTGAAGATAAATCTTCCTAAATATATGTTTTTGCATAATTTTTAAAATGTTAGAAATTTGCCAGTTTATACATCCATGACTCTCAAGGAAGAATATATCTTTAATTAGTGAATTACCTTGACTAATGTTTAACCTTAATATATGAAGGTATAAAACATTAAATTGAAACCATACGAGGAATTACTTGTTCCGAAAAAAATTGAACACGCTTTAATTCGAAAATTATATGCTGTTAAAGCAACTTACTTTACATATTATATCTACATTTCATATCTACATATCTAAACACACTTTCTATGCACACGTTATTTATCATTCAATGTACCACATATGTATCTTATTAAGTTAGAATTTCATTTTTTTAAATTGAAATTAATGTGTGTACTATAATTGCTTTGATATGAGTGTAAATTATTCAAATTGTTCTATTAACAGATTGGGAAAATAATATTTTTCGTATAAATAAAAATATCGTTGTACCAAATGTGTCTATTTTATTTACATAATCCTTCTATTTCAATTAAAAATTATCTTTCCTTTGGATGATTTCGACACCCTGTGGCTCAGCGGTAGCGCTTCGCGCCGTCGTGCCACAGGTCCCTGGTTCGATCCTCGGGCCGGGCAAGGTTGACTCAGCCTTTCATCCCTTCAGTGGGTCGATAAATGAGTACCAAGCATACTTGGGAACTAAACACTAGGGGTTCCGCGTTCGGCTGACCACCTGACCGGAACATCTGCTCCTGCAACCCAGAGCCCAAGGTCAAGAAAACTGAGATTGGCACAGAACGCCTTGGCCCTCATGGGCTGTCGCGCCGCTGAGTTTAGTTTTTTTTTGTTGATGATTTCAAACTACACGTTTCTAATATTAACGTATTTTTCTTAGATTCTTTACATCAGGTTAGAAGATGATTTCAAATTAATTGTAAATCACAGCTTTATAAAGCTTCATAAAGCTCAATCTTTAAAGCAGAGCTATGTTCATATTAGGAATCACAAATAATCGTTTAGTAATAAGAAGAAAATATCTTTATCATAACATGAGAAATTATTTTTTAATCCCATCATAATGATAAATGGCATTAAACTTATCAAAATCAGCTGAAACATCTACTCTATTAATTATAGCAAAAAGTGTGTATTTCTTCGAAAAATCAATACCTTAGGTATTGTGTCACGGAAAACTTAGTACAATCATTTTCAATTATAACAACAACAACAAAAACTCACGTAATATTCTCTGTGCGTTTTCTCCTTTGAGGGAAACGAGGATAATTTGAGGGAAAGAATTAATATTTTTCTAATTAGACAAGTGGTACATTTATCCTATAAATTTTTTCACACTAAATTGAATGAGTCTTATCCAAGATGATCGAACAAAGAGTTTAGAATTTACGAGGGGTTTGTGTAGAAAAAATACAAATCTGTACATGTACTTCGTTAAGAATCTTAGTATTACAACAAAAACAAGTGCGACATTGTTTCCTATATATTTTTTACTTTCAACCAAATGAGACTATATACAAGTTAATTAAACGGTAAGTTTAAAAGTTGTAAACACTTTCATGTATAATAATAATTGCTTTTGGCATAACTTAGTACAATTTTTACTTGGCTATCTAAGGGCTATCTGAAAATGCCAGGTATGTCTTCCTATGAAATTTTTGATACAGAATTGAATGAGATGAAATTCGAGAAGATGAGATTAATAGTTTCTAAGTTAAAAGGATTTTCCGCATAATAAGTTCAATTCAAAAAATAGTACTTTTTATACAAAAAAAGCATTTTTAACTTTTTAAATATTAACTTTTTAAATCCATACATTTAGTCCAATTTGATTAAACGAGAAAATTAAGTAGAAAACGATATCTCTCTTGTCTGATAGGCAGCGTAGGAGGCAAAAATAAGTTTAGGTACAAATTTGTTCCTTTTGCACGAAAACGCTTATGACTTCAAAACTATAGTCCGATCATCTCGGAGTTAATCTCATGAAGTTCAGCGAGAAGAGTCATAATGAAATATAAAAAGTTATATGAAATATAATGAAATATGCAGATAATCTCTGAATAACACTGTAAAGTGTGTACATAAAGACGTATCAAAAGTAATACCAAGTTAAAAACCATATTAAAAAAATTACCAAATAAAATAATAAAAAAATGCCAATTAGAAAAGTTATACATAAAAGCTTTTGCCGCTTTTGAATTATATAAATAAATATTATTTAAATAAATAAGTACAAAAAAAATTAATTTTCTATTTTCTATAATATATATANCAATTTAAAATGTTAAAATATGCCCCAAAAAATTTATCTCATTCATGATTATTTTATCACGTAGGATTACATGACATATATATATATATATATATATACGTTTTAAATAATGTTTCTAAACAGCTTATTCAAATTAGCTTAATTGGAGCTAAGCAATTCCCGACAGAAACAAAAAATTAAGGGTCTATTTAAGAAATATAATTTAATCTTCCATTATCATTAAATATCGAAGATGATAAGGTATATATTTAACCCATCTAATAAATTCCTAAATTCGCAATTTCGTAAAATAAAGCTATTAAGAATCGAGTAGGCTCGAAACCATAGAAATTGAATTCAGCAAAAATTTAAGGATGTCAGTACCAGTAATAATTACATAAAATTAATAAAATTAGCGTATATAATAGAAATGATTATTTTCAAATAATAATTCGCACATTTACCGATAAAATTGTAATTAAATATATTATCAACGTTTTTAAATTGATGAAACTATTTGTTTTCTGCAACAAAAATGATTATGATTTGGAAAGGTAAAAGTTTTAATTAACTCGTTGTATTAACAAAGACTGTCTACACAATAAATATTGAAAATCATTGGATGAAAAATAAAAACTTACTTCACAATCTGCTCAATTTTCATGGACAATTGATCAGTCTGGTCCTTCTTATTGATTCACTGATTGATTATTCATGGATGTTCTTTTTTACATTTTCCAGCTTCATAAATTAAATTTTTTTTTTCAAAGCTAGGAAATACAAACATTTTTAAGTGAATAAATTTTCAACCCGCACAGCTGACATAAGTGATTCATTCTAAATTCCTTCGCAAAAATTTAAATTCTTCCACTATGTATTTCTTACTTAACGTAAAGACAAAGACGAAACCATGTAGAACATAAACAAACCAATCATGCATCGAAGTGGCCAGGTACACAAAAGAAAAATATATTAAGGATGCTATAGAATATATAAACAAATAATAAATCTAAGTTAAGTAAATGAAGTGGAAGTGAAATAATTATTATATATTAAGGTTACAATGGAATATATAAACAAATAATAAATCTAAGTTAAGTAAATGAAGTGGAAGTGAAATAATTATTATATATTAAGGTTACAATGAAATATATAAACAAATAATAAATCTAAGTTAAGTAAATGAAGTGGAAGTGAAATAATTATTATATATTAAGGTTACTATAGAATATATAAACAAATAATAAATCTAAGTTAAGTGAAAGACGTAGAAGAGAAAGAATTATATTTTAAAAAAACTCGATACAGCTCTGTATTTAATTAACTTCGAATTATTACAATGTGTTAAATAACATTGTAACTAATGTGGTGAAACTTAACACAACTTTAAGACACCATATTGCTTATAAACGATCAGCTGGTGCTGACGTCATAGGTCACATGTGTGGGTATCTGTGATATTCCTTTTTCTTCTTGAAGTTCAAGTACACAATTGTTAATAAATAAAATATTTCAATGTTCATTAGTTTTAAAATATTTTTACAGTAATATTGTATAACTAGTGCGCTGCGCCCTCTGCTCGCTAACGCTCGCCAACCAACAAAAATTGCTACGCAATCTTATATGGTTTGCTTCGCAAACCAAGCTCGTTTTGCTCGCTACTAACTTAGGTACATTGCAAATGCGCAAAATTCTAAGAATTCAAAACAATCATTCAAATCCATATAAAAACCTGTTTTTTAAAAAAAATTGCATCTTTTTAGTAAATACTAAGTCATTAAAATAAATTTGAATTCAAATAAATGACATGTAATTCGTTAAACCTATTAGAAATGTGTTATAGTATAATTCGTGATATAAATCAAAAATCGTCAAATGAATTCGTAATATATAAATTCGTGAAAAAAAGCGCTTTCGACAAAATACTGAAATAGAGATCGATCGACAAGGACTACTCACTTCTTATTCATTCACGGATTGATTATTCATGGATATTGTTTCTAGATATAATAGCTAGCTATTATGGTTCACCTGAATAGAAAAATATCGATATTATTTAAAACGCTTATACAGTATTTAATTTTAAAAAAATTTCACGTGTTAATTTAAGCATAAAGCAAAGCAGTTAAACGCTGTTTAATTATTATAAGTTTTGACAAATTACTAGTAATTACATTCTAACTGTGGTACCCAGTTTTACTGAAAATTCACAATCTATCCCTTACTCACCCATCATATGCAATCATCATACCATTTATGCAATGACAGCCGAGCGATCATTTCTTCTCTTTTCCTATTATTTAGAGGAAAAGTTTAAGCAAATTTTGAATTTTCTGTGCAAATCAAAAATAAAAGTTACAATAATTATTAAACAAATATAATAATACTTCGAAATCAACTGCAATTGAATTTTTTGCTTTTAGAAAAAAGTTCTGTTCTAAAAAGCAAATTTAATAATGAAAAGGTACTTGTTTGGTTGGGAATTGGAGAAATGTTAAAAATTGCCGTACAGTTATTGACGTCATTGATGCTTAATTAGTTTTGATAATAATTTCTTCTAGTATTATTATCTTCTGGTATTATGGTACGACTTCTGGTATTACGGTAATTTGTGCTGTTTTAAGACACTATACTAGTATAAGTATCAAGGTACCTACTATAGGTACTTTGATATTAGGATTCTTGCGAAACGTGGAAAGCTATAAATACCGAAGAAATAGCTTGATTTTTGACTATCATGAGGGGGTCATGAACAAAGCATATTAAATACGGCAAAGTTTTGCTTTGATGAACATGAGTTTTTAAAACATGTTTTACTTATTCAAATTACATTAAGCAACCAGGAATGACAAAAAAGTAACAGAAAATCAAAAAAAGAAAAAAAAAACAAATTAAACAAGAAAGTTGTGATCCCCTTATTATGATCACTGGTTACCCCTTGGTGAAATGCTTTGTCTTTCTCGATTGACTTCTGGATTTAACATCACAACATTTCAAATCATGGGTTGCAAAAACTATCTCAATTGATGTTTGTCTTCTTATTGATTTTCATATCCTCTTACGTACGTGTTTCAAGACGTCACAAAATACTTTACCTTCTTCAGCTTTCATATTTATATTAAAATCACAGTCAAGACAGTAATTATACGTTAATAATAAAAAGAATATAAAAAATACTTTAAATTATTGTTATGTAAATACATTAAAAATGCCTGGTAGGAGAAATGAAAAGAAACCAAGAAACAGTCGCCATAGCAACGCATGCGAGAATGACGCATGCGCACTGTTTACTATTACTCTTGCACACAGTTGAAAAGTGTGCGGATGCCATCAGATCCTAACCAAGATCCATTTTGCCAATGGGTAATAAATGATAATTATTTTAGTTTTGTTAATTCGCGATCGCAACGAACTATAGGGGGCGTTGTTGTATGAGACTAATACCTGCGATTTCTATATGAACAGTCATTCAGTNTTACAGGCTCCCGCTAGACGGCGTACTCGAGCGTTGCGATCACGAATTGAGTTGGCACATGTCTTTCAGTTCTGCGCATGATTTGGTAGAATTGAATATTGCTCCTATATTGACTATTAGCTTTTTTCACTCCTTAAGAAGAACGGATATACAATTAGTTATTCATAAGTTATAAGTTATTTTTAAAGAACAAATCACAGAATTTTTCTGCTTTAAAAATGCTTTTTTTTTAACCAATTTGGAAAATTGGTACAGATCAAAGTTTTTTCACGCCTGCAAACTTTTTGATTCGACAATTATCACAAATAAAGAGTTGTTAGAGTCCTACAAAAATTTTGGCTTGCATAAGCATTAATAAAAGTAGGTAGCACTACAAGATCAAATAGCTGCTATCCATCAATTTTGCCTTTTTTTTAATTAAAGGTAACAAAATGCTAAGATGTTGGGTCTTTTTTTTTGTCTCGCAAAATCTGTGGAATGACTTTCATTCTGCGTGAATTCATCTGAATTCAAAATTTAAAGCAATACATTAAAGCAGTGCGATTCGAACATTAAAGCACTAAAGCTGTATATTAGTACTTTTGAGATTCAAGAACATATGGCAACGCAAAATCTAAAGAAAATTATTAAACTAGTGCTACAACTATAATCAAAAAAGTTTGAAAATATTACGCGTGAAAGTTCAAAAGTGATTTTAAAGTTCTACTACCAAAATCGCATGCTTAAAATCTTATAGTATCGACAATCGTTTTCCTCTTGAAGCATGGTTGCACATATATACAGATGGCTCAAGGCTTGAGATAGATGACGTTGCCGGTGCTGGCATTTACTGTGAGCATTTTTCCCACTATCTTTCGTTGGGAACAGCCAAGACCGCTTCTGATGATGAAGTTGAGGCAATCAAAGTAGCTTTAACTCATTTAAATGCTCGTCCTTCTCTTTTCGATCAAGCTGTCATCATCTCGGATTCCCAAGCTGCGATTCTGGCCATTGCCAACTGCTTTCAAGCCCCTAGCTCTTTTTCCATTGTGAAATGTAGATCTTTAATGACAGAGATAGGTGAAAAATATAAAACGATTGCCTTACAATGAATTCCATCCCACTGTGGTATCCCCGGCAACGAAAAAGCGGATGTATTTCCCAAAAGAGATTGCGTTGTTAATCAAGCACCAAATAACTTGGTTAGCTATAAGTCCACTTCATTAATGATTAATCATGCAATTAAGACTACACATATATCATTGCTAAATGAACGGACAAAAGAAAAATCGTGGAGAAATGACATCCTTAATCTCTCCGATTGCCCAAGAAGCAGTGCTGTAGCTCCCTTTCGTCTTGCTACCAAGCACGATTGCTTAAACACCCATCTTTTCCGTCTTAAAATAGTGGATAATCCTGCCTGTCCCCTCTGCCGCAGTGGTGCGACGATGAATGTTGAACATCTCCTCAACTGTTCAATTCTCACAAAGAACTGCATCTACTCCCGATACTGGAAGGACAGAGAGACCTTTTGTTCAATTTAAATTTTTGATTTAATTTTTGTGTTTGATGTTTTGCTTTTGTTTTTGCATTTTGTATATTTCATTTCTTTCTGTATTTGTATTTTTCTTTTGTCTTGATCTCTGTCCGGAGTTAGGTATCCCCTGCTACATTGGAAATTAAAAAAAGTATAGTTGATTCATTAAGGATACATTGTTTAGCCTTAAAAAGTAGCCGACAGAGAAAAAAAATATCTTTCTGCTTAAAACCAAACATTATAAAAATTTCCTAAATCAATTATATTTTTAAAACCAAAGAATCACTCTATTTTGTAAGTGTTCATCATCTATGTAAAAAAAAAGGTTTTACGTTTTGTAGAGTAATTATCAGCTAATACAATTCATTTTCTTTCATTTTGAAACACAAATGAGAAAAATTTCTCACAATGCTAAAGTCAGAGACTTCAAGGTGATTTTTTTTACTATTTTTATTTATTATTTTTCAAGATTGGGTTCTTGATTTTTTTAGTTACTTTTCAATCACTTGAATGCAGAAAAATTCAACAATTGTTTAACTTTCATTTTTTTTTCTGAACATTCTTTGTTTAATAAAATGAGATAAAATAATTAAAATAAAAATAGTGGAGGTCTACAATTGTTTGCAAATTTTTTAAATATTAATATAAAATATCAATTTCAAATATAATATATTTCAAAAATAAAAACTTTTCAAATATTTTTTTAAAATTCATAATGCAAAAAGTTATCAAATTTTTAAACTAGAAATAACGATCATATTCTTGAATCAGAAGATAATTTTTTTTTATTCTCATTAGTATTCTCGAATTACAAGAAACATTTTCTAGATTATGGAAACTTAAAACTTCCCTTAAAAATAAAAATAAAATCCCAATAACTTTAAAAATAGCAGAAAATTTTCTTAAAATATTTAAGTTTCCTAATGATCAAAGAAGATCTTTAAGTAAAATAGCACATGTAATTCAAAAAATTGTATCTAATTGACTTAAGACTTATTTATAGCCTTCAATTTATTTATATTTTCTTATAAAAAATTACTTATAAATAAGATATATAAATAAATTGAATTATAAGCAGATAGTAAATAAATAATATATCTTCAATTTGGAATAATTAAAATAAAATAAATAATAAAATTATTAAATACAGTAAATAGTAAAATTATTAAAATAAAATAAAGATAGAAAACCACAAAAATTTATAAAAAGTAAGCAAAACATAAAAATATTACGAAAAACAAAATAAAATAAACAGAAATATCTCAAATAAAAGAAATATAAAGTCGTGAAAATTCAAAAATATCTTAAAATCATTGAAAAAGCAGAAGGTAACATTAAGGGGCCCAAACCTCCAACCATTTTCGAAATTACAGTTACCATCATATTTTAAAAGCGTGGAATCAAAATATGTAAGGGTGATTTTCTCAAAACGTTAACTTTTGCCTAATACAATTAGGAAAAATACTTCTCATAATAAACCTGATGTTGATAATTTCTACAATAAAATCATAAATTTAAGCATGCAAAATAGTGATCAGCAATGAAAATATTTTAACAATAAAAAGAAACGATTTTCGTGTACGAGGACAGTACTTAAAAAAGGAATAGTAAAGACAGTAAACAGAAAAAAAAACACCATTTTATCTAATTTAAAAGCATAAATATTGCTTATTTCACATTTTAAAACATGTGTATATTTCATGTCAATTTATTATAATTTAGAAAGTAGTACAAATTGACCTGGTATTTTTTTAAATTACACATTTTTTTTCTTCTTTCCCACATATTAGCTACCAATAAGACTTTCATCCGATTAGCCCAGTGAACAAACATAGATATTGATTATTTCACATTTTAAATGTGTATATTTCATCTCAATTTATTATAATTTAGAAAGTGGTGCAAGTTGACCCTGGTAGTATTTTTTAAATTACACATTTCTTTTCTTTTGCACTTATTAGTGACCAATAAAACTTTTCGTTCAATTAGCCCAGTGAATAAACATAGATATTGCTTATTTCACATTTTAAACCATGATGTGTATGTTTCATCTGAATCGATTATAATTTAGAAAGTGGTACAAATTGACCTTGCTAGCATTTTTAAAGGTCCCTTTTTTTCGAATATCTTGTAAGGGAATCCCTGGATCAAGGCATTGGGAGAAATTTGCCTTCGTGGAGGACTTTTTGATGGAACTAACCCGCATGCATATATGCGTTACATAGAGAAGGAAACCACAAAAACCTCCCACGGTTAGCCTGACGACAAGGAGACTGAAACCCATAATCCGTCTAAAACTGAGGACATTTTACTTCCACACTGTGGTCGGTGCGAACCTAGGGCGGAACTCGTCACCTCATTGGAAGGTGAGCGCTTTATCCCCTGAGTCACCACAGCTCAGTAGTAGAAATTGACCGCGGGAGAATTTTTTTTTTTCTTTAAGGACACATCTCTTTTTCTTTTGCATATCTTGTACCTACGATCAATAAAACTTTTCATCCAATCAGCTCAGTAAAATTTCAATTTATTTCTTATTCGAAAATAGCTTTTATTTGTGATTATTTTATCACTTATATTTAAGCAATTTAACTAAACTGAAGAAGTGTCAACGAGTAGTTAGAACAGAAATTTCGAATTTCTATAAAATGTGATTTTTAAGTAGCCAAATTTTTATTTATATTCACAACTTATTAAGTAAAAACTGAGAAAAAAAATTAAAATTACAAAATTTAGATATTAATGTTGTTAAAATTATCATTTAAAGCAGTACTGCAAATATTCTAAATTATTCCATTCTCACTAATAAGTATAGAAAGGGAACACAAAAAATGCCAAAAAAAGTTCTAATTAAAAATTTTAAAAAAAAATTTACAAATAAATAAAATTGAAACTTTAAAAGAAACTTAGCTCTTCATTTTAATTGACCTTGTTAATATTTTGATTTATTTTGATTTTGAGTTGGTACACAAAACAGAATGTATTCTCAACAATCTAAACACTTGTTATTGGATTACTTTAACTTCATTAAAAACAGTCATAAGTTTGCTTTTAATCTTTAAAATTTAGTGTTTTTATGTATGTAAACAACGTTCTTATTTTCAAATAAAATTCTCTTTTACTGTTGATTGAAATCTGACAAAATGCGCCTAATTCATAATCAAATTCTTTAAAAGTTCCTCAAATAATAAAGTAATTACAAACCCTTGCTTAGATGAAGATTATTGGGACAGTAATTATTTCAATAAAGTCACCAATAGATTCTTTAGGGTGAAGTTTGCCTTTTTTAAGGTGAAACTGTTCTGTAGAGAAGATTGTTCTTTGTAACCTAGAAGTTTAATTTATTCAACTAGAGCCATCTATAGTGTTTTATTGGCACTTTTCGTACTTACGACAGTAATTACACAAAAGTGGGGCACATATACTAAATGATGTGTAAAACAAAATATACAAATTTATAAAATAATACTCAGAGTATTCATTACACACATCCAAGTAAGCGGTAACAATACACCAGATTATGTATGCATTTATTTCTGAAATTCTTTCATTATATCGCAAATTACTCAAAAAGTTAGTTCAGGAATATGTCTTGGGAATATACGACAGCAATAACCGTGTACCTATTTTTTTAGTATATTTTAAATGCAAAGTGTGCCTGGTACATATTTCTAATACTCCTTGCAACTATTTTAAGCAAAACATACCATTAACTAATGGAAACAAATAATTTAAAGAGAAATATTGCTTAAAGACTTGAAAAATAAAACCCGTATGTTAGTTCAAAGAAGGTGCGTTTATTTTGTCTTTGGAAACTTAAAATTCATCGCCTGCATCAAAAAGCATACTTAAGTTAAGAACTCAAACCGTTAATATTTGAATTCCAGTGCGTGAAAATCCGGTTCATTAGATAAAAAGTTATTGAATGTGTTCATTGTTTTTCTTGTTTATATATTTTTTTTATTTTTTTGTGATGCTTGTCAAAAAAGTACTGAAGATATTGATTGGAGTTTATTATTAAATGAAAAATATTTTGGCGAAAACAAAGTATTTGTTCATCATGATAACAAATCATTATCATAATAACAAATTAAGGTAGTGATCATAATGTATCAAACGTTATCAAAATTTGACAAATAGCTAACGGCAAAGGCAAGATTAAAAACATGTAGTTTGTTATATGGAAGCTAAGAGAAGTTGAAAGGAAATTTTAACAATACATTCAGATTTCTTTGGGGAAGCGAATTTGTTATTCATATTTTTAACATCATCTTCTAAAGCATTAATTTACATAGTTTTGTTAACGCTTTTGTTTTTCCTTCATTTAAATAGTAATTTGTGATGTGCATGGTCTGTTGACTTTATTTTTGATAATAGATTCCTAAAATATAATACATTTTATAAGAAGAGATTGTTGATCATTTTGTTTATTTAGGCATATTTAGAAAAAACAAACGAATATTTTTGATAATGGGTTCTTAAAACATAATGCATATTATAAATAGAAATTATAGATCACTTTGTTTATTTAGGCATAGTTAGAAAAAAACGAATATTTTTGATAATATGGATTCTTGAAATATAATACATATTATAAATACAGATTATAGATCACTTTGTTTATTTAGGCATATTTAGGTAAAAAAACGAATATTTTTGATAATGGATTCTTAAAATATAATACATATTATAAATGCAGATTATGGATCACTTTGTTTATTTAGGCATATTTAGGAAAAAGACGAATATTTTTTATAATGGATTCTTAAAATATAATACATATTATAAATACAGATTAAGGATTGCTTTGTTTATTTAGGCATATTTAGAAAAAAAAACGAATATTTTAAGTAAAAAAATACAACCAATTAAGTTTAAATGATACTAAATGATAAAAATATATAGTAAATTGAAGCGATTAATTTAATCCATAAATGAATATTAACATATGTAAATTGCGTTTTCAATGTAAACTTGCCATTGAAATGCTGTTAAAAAGAAAATTTTCATTATAAAAAAGAGTTAATAAGCTAATATAAAGTCCGCGACAGACACTAATTGAAAGAAAATTGAATTTTCTACTTGCTTAAAAGTAAATCTAATCTGCCATTCAAATACAGACGTGCATCAAACTCCTCACATATGGTACGTAATTCTTATCTCAAAATAAAACTTATTAACCTTAATAACATTTCTAGATGAGATCGAAGCACATTTTTTTTAACATTTCAATTAAATTGAGCATTGTGTTTAATATAAATGTTCTTCCATTTAATTTTAGAACATGATGTATACAGATGGCTTGAGACTATAAAAACTAAAGTTCGTATTTCGCTAGATCACTCTGTTGGAGAATTAAAGAAAGGTAAGTTAGAGAGCATTTTCTTTTAGATTATCAAAATGCGCATTGATACAACGAGTTTAGCTTCAGCTGTTGCTAAGAGAGACACCGATGATGATGCTGACGTGAATGCTGATTATGAAAAATCATTAGAAGAAATAGAAACAAGAAAAAAGATATGCAAGGGCTTCGAGTACGCTGAACATACAACAGGATTGGTGGGTAATTTGATCGATGATCTTCCAGATTTGCCTCTTATTACCGATACCGTAAAAGTAGTACTTTCGGGTATCACAGCGATACTACACATAGCTGAATTTGGAATGGACATTGCTCAAACAGCGATGAGATGTGGTGCAGTTAACTTTGATGAGGTTAAAGTAATAATGAATAAAAGATTTGACGACGTAGATAAAAAACTCGATAAAATGACTGAGGTGATGGAAAAACTGGATGAAGCCATAACTATAACTCTCCGAAGCGTCGAAAAAACTAGGGCGGAGATGAACTGGGGCTTCAAAACTATACTGGCAAGCCTGAAAAATCACGAAATACAAACAATACTCAGTAAAATTAACAAATTCTCTCGATATTTTGAAGAAAAAAAGGATGAGATAAGTAAACTACCAAAGGACCAATTTGTATTCCGGTTGAAAGAAGAAGACGGTATTCTTGATTACTTGCAAAAGATCCGAAAACCAGAAGGTTTGCATTCAGATTTATTAGAGCTTATGGATAAAAATACTAATTATGCGATTCCTAAAAACGCTGAAGACATCAAAGCGTTTCAAGCATTATATGCTTTATTTTATGGAACACAAACATATGCATCAGTTATGTTTTTCCTTCTTAAACAGCATTCCTACCTTGCAAGCTATTTTTATCAAGAGGGAAAAGACGCAGATTTTAATGACGAATTCGATATTTTGATAGCTACATTTAAAGAATTCAAAACTTCACTTATTGGAAGCAAGGGTCTAATTAATAAGGTTGTCCAAACGTTAGACGAAGTAAAAAATAAGCCTTTCATTCTTTTCGTTGAAGACCAGTTATACGCTGACATCTCTAAGAGACAAGACAGCTTACGAGAACTACAGTCAAATATTGCTAATATGACGTTATATGTCATAGAAGATGTACCAGATCCTGTACTTGATATCGACTTTGATGAACCTATTATCCCATCAAACTACGGGGATTGGGATGATAAGGCTAGAGTGAAGTATGCAGTGCAGCTCAGAAAAAATGGAACTTATTCTAAATTTAGTGACTGGACGGAATCCGTAAAGGTGGACGGGAAAGCAAATCCATTTCTTAAAATCAATCGAGACGAATACGGAAGAGACAGGTTAGTTTTCCGAAAATTCAATGACGAAAAACCTCAACTTGCTGGTATTTTGACTAAATCTCAGATGGAATTTCGAGACATTGATCGTGATCTTTACAATGCTGCTAAAAGTAAAAACCAAAATATTTCTTTGGAATACATTCCTAAGCTAATTGAGGAAGGGGCTTACATAAGACAGGTTTTTGAGATGAATCGAAGCGTCATGCATGCTGCAGCTGAAAGCGGAAACGTAAAAATTGCATTTCACTATCTTTTGGATGTACCAGATAACCTATTAGTAAATGCGGTAGATGATAAAGGATACACACCAATGCATGTTGCAGCAGATACTAAAAATGCTGGTTTCATAAACTTTTTAGCCACCCATTCAGCAGATGTTAATGCTCAGACAACTTCAGAAAAATTAACACCTTTGCATCTGGCAGCAAGAAAAGGTTACTCTATTGCTGTTAATTATTTACTTTCCAGTGATAAAATCGAGATCAATAAACCAGAAAAATCCGGATATACACCTTTACATTATGCCGTCCGTGGTACTCCCAAAACAATTCAAACTTTACTTGCTAAAGACCAAATTTCAGTAAATGCAAGGTCAGATTTTGGTCTTACACCCTTTCATTTAGCAGTAATGAAAGGCAATCGAGAAATTTGTGACGCTTTGTTAAGTAGCGGTAAAGTGGAAGTCAATGCTGGAGATAAAAATAACATGACACCTCTTCATTTTGCAGCGATGGAGGGAAATATAAATATGATACAGTACCTCCTTTCAGGAAAAAAAGAAGTTGAAGGTGTTGAAGTCAACGCAGTAACCTCGGATACAAATTGGACCCCACTCTACGCCGCTATTTATTTCCAACAAGAAGATGCTGCTCTTGAACTGCTAAAGAATGAAAAAGTTGACATAAGCTTAACTTCCAAAGAGAAAAACACACCTCTGCAACTTTCCATTGCAAATGGACAAATGAAAGTGTTCGATGAATTATTGAAAAAAACTTCTGATCTCGGATCAACGACAGAAAAAGGACTTACCGCACTTCACGTTGCAGCTTTAAGACCAGAAGCAGATTTCATTGCTAAATTATTAGATAGGAATGCTAATATTGATGCAAAAGCATTGGATGGAAATACTCCTTTGCATTTAGCTGCCATATCAGATAAGATGGACCCAATTATTCTCTTAATAAACAAGGGAGCCAGTCTAAAACTCTTTAATAACGAAAATTTACTACCACCTTATTATTTTGTAAAAAATATGAACTTTGAAGCAATGAATGCAATGGTAAAACAAGATCCAAATATCCTTCATTTCAATACTACGGAAGGTATAGCAGTAGGGCAATATTGTCTTGATTTTGTCTTCTTTCGTATCTTTGATTTTTACAAAAATAAAGATTCCTTTGAATATCGAAAATATAAAAATTTACCGCCTTTAGAAGCTTTTCATAAACTGGGTTACTATAATTTACTTAGAACTCTATCGTATGATGAAAAATTAATTAACGGAACGATAGAAATGGCTAACGATGCAGTCATAATGTGCCTTGAAATAGAAAAGAACCCAGATAAAAAGCAATGCAGTTTTACGTTTCCTAACTTCCATCAGAAACGTGACATTAACAATGTCTACTCTAAGCTTCAACTAGCACAGAGCTCTACCGGTCCAGTTCAGAATGTGATGAGTCCAAATCTCCTTGGGTCAAAACTCGCTGATCCCAGAAAATCTTTTTCAAATGCTAAAACGTCAATGGTCCAAAATGTTGATACAAATGGTATGTTGCTGTGGCTAGATCTGATTGTGAGAAAAGTAACAAATGAGAAGTATAATATGAAATTAAACGCTCCGATGTCTGCTCTAGAATCTCAAGCCGAAGCTTTGAAAATTGTTGAAAAGGTTAGTGAATTTATTGACAGCGTTAGTGATGTGCCTGCAGAAGAGCTGATAGACCTCGCCAAATTGCACTCAGACGTATACAAATCTATTGAAGGTGGAAAGAGCGACATAATTCTCAGTCTTTTGTGTGACCAGTTGAGGAGTATTGTAGATCCTGAGAGCATGGAAGATTTCTTTTCAGCTCTTATTTCCGATGCTTCCCAAAATCAAGATTTTATTAACAACGTAAAGCAACGCTGCTTATCTGAAGCTAATAAGGAATGAAATTTGTTACTTCTGAATTGCTTCTTTCGGTTTCAAATTTTGCACATTTTTATAACGGTTTCGCTCACAATTTCAATTTTTTGCTGTCTGAAATTTCAAGTAATTTATAGAATAACAATTAAATTCATATTTCTGGCAGTTTATATCCTCGATTTTATTACTCCTCACAAATTTTGCACGTTTTTATAAAAGTATTGATTGAAATTTTAATTTTTTTGCTGTCTGAAATTGAAAGTAATTTATGGAATAACAATTAAATTTATATTTCAGACAGTTTATATTCACGATTTTGTTAATCCTCACAAATTTTGGCAAGTTTTAATAAAAGTATTGATAGCAATTTCAATTTTTCGCTCTTGAAATTTAAAGTAATTTATAGAATAACAATTAAATTTATATTTCTGGCAGTTTATATTCACGATTTTGTTAATCCTCACAAATTTTGGCAAGTTTTAATAAAAGTATTGATAACAATTTCAATTTTTCGCTCTTGAAATTTAAAGTAATTTATAGAATAACAATTAAATTTATATTTCTGGCAGTTTATATTCACGATTTTATTAATCCTCACAAATGTTGGCAAGTTTTAATAAAAGTATTGAAAGCAATTTCAATTTTTCGCTCTTGAAATTTAAAGTAATTTAAAGAAATATTAAGTAATTTAAATAAATGTAAAGTAACAAATAAAATTTAACTATGTTTTATTTTTAAATATTGTTAACTGGAAATTGTTCTATTTATTATTATATAGAATTCGCATTACTTCGTATTGTAAATATATTGTAAATATTTTCTGAATATGCTCTAAATATGTAATATATATTGTAAATATGTTCTAAAAATTAAGAGTATAGAATCATACATACATTTTTTTCTTAAATACAAACATAGTAATTTTAAAAAGTATTTTTTACGCTTATATTTTAAAAATATTCTGAAATATCAAAGTACCGGTACCCGCTTACTAATTTCAAGACTCTGAATATAGAATAAAAGTAGAAGAGTATATTAACATTATGTTTAAATATTAAGCAGATGGGCCGGCAGAAGGTTAATGGATCTCGTATGGTTACATTCAGATGTATACAAATCTTTTGAAGATAAAAATAATAATATAATTCTCAATCTATGATCTTCTTTAAAAAATTGTAGAACCTAAGAAAGCTAAATCCTTATTGATAAGACTCATATCAAATGTTCCTGTTTCTAAAAACCGAGATCAAAACTACTCCCTAATACAGAAGTGTTAGCAAAAACTAATGACTCCAAAGCAGTCTACTTTCCACGACTCTTAAACACAGGAAATACAACAATAAAAGACAAACAAAAACATTTGCAATGTTTCTATAATCACTTCAAAAATGTACTTTCTTTTCTTTAAATTTACATTAAATTGGAACTTTCAATATATTCATATGAAATATTTATTCTGTAATATAAGATTATGAATGCTTATTGCAGGTTGAGAAAAATGCCATTGTATCCAAAATTGCTTGTATTTTTTTTAAAAAAATGTATACACGATCCTATACTTTTAAACTTTATTTCCACAACAAATATATTTACAATACAAAGTAATATGAATTCTATATAATAATATTTGAATTCAAAATATAGTTACATTTTATTTATAAACTTCCCTATTCATTGTCTTGAAGCCAAATGTATTCAATCGAATATTAACCTGTGTAATTATATAATCTTTACAATATTAACATCGAGTCACTTTTGCTTATCAAATTGGATTTAAGCCTAACGTATTTTTCTAAATTTCTTTGAAATTTTATGAATGGTAGAAGTTATCAAGCATGAAATATTATGCTTAGTTTTGAAACTTGACTGTTTATCGATTTAAAATCAAAGTAGACTATTAAATATAATAACAACCTGTGTAATTATATAACCTTTGTAATATTGACCTAAAGTCTTTTCTTAGCAATAAAATTGGACTTGAAACTAACAGATTTTTCTATCGTAAAATATTCTCATATTTGCTTTTGAAACTTGCATATTTATCGTCTTGCAACAAAATTATAGTGTTCCATATAATATTAATTTTTGAAATTATATCATCTTTGTAATGTTGACTTTAAGTCCCTAATTTATTATTAAATTGAACTTGAAACTAGCAATTTTGTTAAAAAGCTGTTAAAAAATTACAACTGTACAATTCACATTTCATATCGAAATTTGATTGATTATTTGATTGATTAAAATTTTATCATATTATTGAAATTTGATTGATTTAAAATGACTAAATAATTGCATTGTTTGAGAATATATAAATTGTTATTAAAATTATTTACAAACATGCCTTCTTATTTTCTTATCATCATTAATTTATATCAGTGAGAAAATTCATTTCAAGAAATTAAAATTAATTTTTTAAGGCTTTAATTCAAAAAAAAAATTTTGAAAAGGGATATTAACAAGAGTTATCTTCATTCTTGAAAAATGTCCTTGAAAAGCAAAATATTCTTTAAACATAAAATAATACAATCGGGCATTATAATAATATTTTGACTTTAAGTGTTTAAAAAAATCAGCGAACGGTATGCATATAGAAAAGTAAAGCTCTTTAATTGCTTTTGATCAGATTTTCTCTTACTTAGATATTTTCACGAAGTTTTGTAGACAGACTCGTGGGACCTATCTTAAATATGTTAAAATACATGCATACTGTTAAAATTTCCATTCTAAAATTATGGTAAAATAGTCGGCAGCAGTCTACCCATTCAATTAACCTTAAATTTAACAGTAAAAAAACATTTTTTACCCCTACGTTTTGCAAACCATTTACAAATAGCATGATTTCGAAACCATACAAAGGGAATCAACTGGATATTGAAGCTAGATTTTTTGATTTGGTAATGCGCATTGGAATTAGGTTTGAATGAGTTGTGTTTTCTCAAATAAACTGTGGATGTTTTTTTCATTAGTTTGGCAGCTTTATAGGGCTACCATCTGTATGAGAATGAGTATCGAATTCGAAGAACCCAAGGACGCAAATTGGGGAGACCGGAAACCCTTCATATGTTGAAGGGAATAGAGGAAATATGGTGTCAACGCTGGGATTCAAACCCCCATTCTGTTGGTGTTAGGATTGATAGATATTGATTGATAGATAGATAGATTGATAGATTTAACCATTTTTTGAGAGAATTTTTTAACAGTGCACAGCTATCAGCCTATATTTTAAATTACAAAATTAGGCCTAAAATTGTACTTCTTCTGAATAAATATACTTATATACAAATTTTGATTCTTGACCCTTAACCGCTTGCGTAAGCGTGATGAAGCCTGTCATTCTGGTCCACTTCTTGTACCAGCCGCAAGTAAAAGTTAAATGAAGTCTTCCTCTGCCAGCCAAACTCTACTCTCGAAGGAGTGGAGACGGGGAGGGAAAATTATAAATAGAATTTTAATCTTCCTCATTTAAATTTCCCATATAAACGGTTGTTGGCTGTAAACTTTATTTGTCAGTATCTTTCGGTAGATGTAGAATACGAGACTGTCTCCTAGTCAGAACTTCAGATATAAAGAGCGCGATAGATTAGATTCTGTTTGAATTTTTTCTGCCAAAATTATACTAATACTGTTCTGCAATCCCCAGTTTTCGAACGGTAGTGAAATAGCATACATTTGTCTGTTTCTAAATTTTTGATAAATACCTTTGTTTTTGCATCGTTTACGTAATAAAAATCAACCAAATCAGCTACCATCAGTTTAAACAGTAATAAAATAATTGACAAATGTGTAGTTTTTTAATTAATGATTCAAAAACCATAAATCTTATTTTTTATTACTTTAAGGTACTTTGATTCTTATACATTTTTTTGTTCGGAAACAGCATACATACATCATAACCCGTTTCACAGGAAAGACACATTCACAAACCATCCATCCATCCACAGATTGTAATTTTGACCTAAACCAGAGCACGATCAACCTCCAACCCCTCACTTCCAAAGGTAGGACTTAGTGACCCCGGCAAATTTAGCGGGAATCAATCACAGTTTTGAGCATGGGGAGTCTTCGACCGATGGGGATCGAACTTACGACTTCTCGGAACAACACCCTACCTGCCTGGTTATCCCGGTTCTACTTATTGCTTTAAAGCTGAGAAGAAAATTTCATAGAAATTCATATTTCTCCAATGATTATAATAGATACTATGATTATAATAAAATACTATGATTATAATAGATAATATAATCATAGTATAATATAATCAGTAGAGTAATATAATCATAGTATAATGTAATCAATAGAATAATACAATCAATAGAACAATATAATCATAGTATTAATAAAATAATTCAATATCGTTAATTATCACATTCGATATCAGTAATAATAAGAAATTCAGAATATGTTTTTGTTTTATTCATATGTCAAAAATGTCTTAGATAACACATACCATAAAAAACGTGCAATAAAAACCTTCTTCTACTTTATTTCTTTCCAGAAGTTTTTTCTTTGTCAAAATGCCATCTGTTCTGTCAATTAATGTAAAAAAAATCAAACCCTGTGACATTTTCATCTAATTCCAACCCAAAACTTATTGGTATCAATGTTTGACAGCAATCCTAAGTGAATAAGAATACACAATAAGCATTTTTTTTTGTCATCAGCTACCAAGCTGTGTAGTGATTTCCTACAGTAAAATCGAATCAAGTGTCACTCATAAAAAAACACCCACCAGATGGCAATTAACTTTATAAATCTTCACTGATCCACACTTATCCATTCGTTTCAAGAATAATCTCCCATAGTCAGGTAAGTAAAGCCAAACTCTTTATCTCTCGAAATGCGTATTAACCAGACGGCTGTTACTTTAGCTATAGTTAAACGAGATTCCGATAATGATCCCGATTCCGAGTATGAAACGGCAATGGAAGAAATTGAGTCAAGGAAAAAAACATGCAAAGCCTTAGAGTACGCTGGTCATGCAACAGGGCTCGTCACTGACTTGATAGGTGATATCCCAGAAATCCCTCTAGTTACAGATGGGGCCAAAATAGTAACTTCAGGAATTGCTGCTATAGCACATGTAGCGGAATTCGGAATGAACATTGCAGCTACAGCCATGGAATGTGATGATGTCAATTTCGATGAGATCAAATTAATTATGGATAAACGGTTTAATGAAGTTGATAGAAAGCTTGACAAAATGACAGAAGCGATGGAAAAAGTAACAGAAATGGTGACTAAAACATTAACTACCGTTGAACAAACCAGAGTAGATATGAAATGGGGATTCAAAACAGTACTAAAAACGTTAAGAAATAGCGAAATACAAACAATACTATTTAAAATTAAAGATTTTTCTCGATATTTTGAAAAAAGTAGAAACGAAATAAGCATACTCCCTGCATATCAGTTCGTTTTTCGTCTAAAACAGAAAGACGGTATTCTTGATTATTTAAAAAAAGTCAGAATGCCAAGAGGTTTGCATTCATATTTGTTTGAACTCATGGATAAAAACAATAATTTTGCTATTCCAAAAGAAGCTGATGATTCTAAAGCATTTCAAGCTTTATATGCCTTATTTTACGGAACTCAAACCTACGTATCGATTATGTTTTTTCTTCTGAAACAGCATTCTTATCTCGCTGATTATTACTATCAAAGAGGACAAGACAAGGAATTCAACGAAGAATTCGATATTTTAGCAACCACATTCAGCGAATTCAAAGCATCTCTTACTGGAACCAACGGCTTAATTAATGAAGTTGTCAAGACGTTAGAAGACGTAAAAAATAAATATTTTATTAGCGATGTTAATAATGAATTATATGCTGATATCTCCAAAAGAATAGATGGGTTAACTGACCTCAAAACCAATATTTCACAAATGACTCTAACTGTCATAGAAGACACACCGGAACCTGTAATTGATATCGATTTTAATAAACCTGATATTGCATCCAACTATGGCGATTGGGATGATAAATCTAGAGTAAGGTATGCTGTTCAGTTAAGAATGGATGGAACTTATTCAAAATTTAGTGAGTGGACAGAGCCGCTGAAAGTAGATGGAAAAGCAAACCCTACACTGCATATTTCCAGGGATGAAAAAGGCAGAGAAAGGCTTGTTTTTCGAAAGTTTAATGAAGAGAAACCTCAGCTAGTAGGAATTTTAAGAAAATCGCAAACGGAACTTCGAGACATTGATCGAGATCTTTATGATGCTGCGAGAAGCAAAGATCAAACTAAACCATTACAATATATACCTATTTTACTGGAAGCTGGAGCAAATATGACTGCAGTTTTTGAAAGGAAAAGAAACATTATGCATGCTGCCGCTGAAAGTGGAAATGTAAAGATTGCTATGAGGTTTCTTTTGGACGTAAAAAAAGAATTATTTGATGCTAGCGATGAAAAAGGGTATACAGCGATGCATGTTGCTGCTAGTACTAAAAATGCCGGTTTCGTGAGCTTTTTGCTTACCCATGATGCAAACGTAAATGCCCAAACTAATTTGGATAAATTAACTGCATTGCATATCGCAGCAAAAAAAGGTTACTTTAAAACAGTTAAAAACTTACTTTCAAGCAATAAAATAGAAATCAATATACCCGAAAAATCAGGATACACACCTCTACATTACGCTGTTCAAGGAACATCAAAAACCCTTAAGTTGCTTCTTGATGACGATAAAATTTTAGTTAACGCCAAGTCAGATTTTGGCTTGACTCCTTTCCACTTGGCTGTTATGAAAGGTGATCGAAGAATCTGTGATGCTTTGTTAAGTAGTGGCAAAGTAGAGGTAAACGCTGGAAATATAAACAACATGACGCCTCTTCACTTCGCAGCAATGGCGGGAAATGTAGACATGATACAATATCTTCTATCAGGAAAGGATGAAGTCAAAGAAGTTAATATCAACGTAGTAACTTCTGATAATAATTGGACACCCCTCTATTCAGCTGTTTATTTCAAACAGGAAAGTGCTGTCCTTGAATTACTCAAGTACGAAAAGACTGACCTTACAATACCTTCCAAGGAAAATTACACGCCTCTGCATCTTTCTGTTGCAACTGGTCAAATGAATGTTTTCGATGAATTATTAAAGAAAGGCTCTAATATAGAATCATTAACAAAAGAGAAGTTTACTGCTCTGCATCTTGCAGCTTTTCGATCAGAAAAGGATTTTACTGCAAAATTGCTGGATAAAAATGCTAACATAAATGCAATATCCGATGATGGTTCTACTCCTTTACATTTGGCTGCAAAAGCAGATAGGACAGATCAAATGTTACTTTTAATCAATGGAGGCGCAGATATGAAGCTTTATGATAGCAAAAACTTTTTACCACTTCAATATGCTATTAAAAATATGAATTTGAAAACTATAGAAGCAGCCGTAAATAAAGATCCGAGTATTGTCGATGGTAATTCTAAAGAGGGGAAAATAATAATGAAATATTCTGTTGACTTTATTTTCGCTAGCACTTATCATTACCATAAAAACAAAGATTTTGTTGAATATGAAGAATATAAAGATTTTTTACCATTGGAAGTTTTTCAGAAATTAGGTTATTTTGATTTATTAAAAATCGTAGCAAATGATCCCAAAGCAGAAGTTTCAATTAACCAAACAATTGCAACTGCTGACAAATTGGGAGAATGGTGCGTGAAAAAAGAAAAAGACCCTGAAGCAACGCATTGTAAAATCATAGACGTTCGGTCTAGACGTAATATTGAGGCTCATGATTCATATACTTATCAGCCTAAATATTTTCTACGTAATGCGTCCACCAATTCTAAGATTATTGGCAATTCTAACTCCCTGTCAGCAAATCCAAGCAGGGACTACAAATCTTTTTCCCAGTCTGGAAGCTCAATGGTTCAGGATATCGACACAAATGGAATGTTACTATTGTTTGATATACTAGTCAGAAAATTTACGAACGAGAAATATAATTTGAGTGCCGATAAACCGATAACCACTTTGGAATCACAAGCTGCAGCATTGGAAGTCATTGATAAATTTAGTGCTTTTGTAGATTCTGTCAGTGATGTACCAACAGAAGAGTTAATAGATCTCGCTAAATTGCACTCAGAAGTATACAAATCATTAGAAAGTGGAAACAGCAACATGATTTATTATCTTTTATGTCAGCATTTAAGAGATATTGCAGAAGCGGATCAAGTTGCAACTTTCTTATCAAGTATCAAGATCGACAATGGAGATCAAAGTCAAGAAAATTCTATTAAAACTTTAGTACAATATTGTTTAACAGAAGCTGATGAGGGTACTACATTCTAAGTGCTGAATTTGAATGATTTTGTTTTCTTTGCTACTATAAAATACTTAATCTCTATATAGTATCTTTTCTCTTTTCCTCATATTCTCTTATTTTCTTTTCTTTTTCTTTTCTGAAGCTTATCTTTATGGGATACTTTATGTTTTTCCTTCTCTTTTCTCGCTTTTTTTTTTATTTACTGCCTATTTTTTATTGCCTGAAATTCTGACAGATATTCCTTGCACTTGTTTTTGCTCTTTAAATGTTCCTCGCCCTGGTTTTTTCTTCTTTGCGTATACCTTGCACTCTTTTTACATATATACTACACGAAATTCTCTGAAGTATTTCTTGCACTTTTTTTCGCATTAATACGGATTTTTTGTACTTAATTTTTAGCTCAGTTTCAAACTGAATAAAAAGTAATCCATAAAATCAATTTTCAAAATAAATCTTTCACGAACTTGTATAGTAATTTTAAATCTTTTCTCTTTAAAAAAAAGAACTTTAGCACTTACTTTTCCAAAATTTTAAAAATGCATAATCCTTAATTGAAATTAACTAAAATAAATATTGAATTGTATTTGTTGATTTAATTTTTAAATAAATGTATAAATCTGAAATATTTCTAAAAAATTAAGAATGTTACCAAAACCTAACAATAATGTTTCTGTAATGAGCTTAAAATATTTCCTATGCTGTAACGTAATTGATACTTTTCTCCTATCAATTGTTTGTAGAAAATATTAAATTGAAAGATAAGAACTTAGTTTTCCAGAGAACAAATACGACACTAAGTCAAATCAAATATAACTATTGATAAATGCTTGTGCATTAATGTCAGTGCGTGTTGAATTAAGTAATAACTTTCTACACTAAAAATGAAGAATTACGCTGGTCTATATTGCGACTATAGACCGGCCTTATCAAAAATCTCTTTTCAATTGGTATCTCAATCAAAAGCATCTCAAATACGTAATAATAACAATACGTAGGATAGTTACAGCACAGATAAGCGCAAACGAATCGCGCAATTTTGTTTTTTCTACTTTAAGAAACAGGAATATTTCAATACTTATATTTTTCAAAATATTTTCGCGTTTTTCATTATCAAAAATCAAACAAATAATATTTTAGATCAAAACAGATTGTAATAAATAATTTCAGATATCTTTCACTCAATAAAACTTTAACACTTACTTTTTCAAAATTTTAAAAATGTATAAGCCTTAATTGAAATTAACTAAGATAAATATTGAATTGTATTTGTTGATTTAATTCATAAATAAATGCATAAATCTGAAATATTTCTGAAAAATTACGAATATTACCAAAACTTATCAATAGTGCTTCTGTAATGAGCCTAAAACATTTCCTATGTTGTAACATAGTTGATACTTTTCTCCTATCAATTGTTTGTAGAAAATATTAAATTCAAAGATAAGAACTTAGTTTCCCAAAGAACAAGCTCGACACTAAGTCAAATCAAATATAATTATTGATAAATGCTTGCGCATTAATGTCAGTGCGTGTTGAATTAAGTAATAACTTTCTACACTAAAAATGAAGAATTACGCTGGTCTATATTTCGACTATAGACCGGCCTTATCAAAAATCTCTTTTCAATTGGTATCTCAATCAAAAGCATCTCAAATACGTAATAATAACAATACGTAGGATAGTTACAGCACAGATAAGCGCAAACGAATCGCGAAATTTTGTTTTTTCTACTTTAAGAAACAGGAATATTTCAATACTTATATTTTTCAGAATATTTTCGCGTTTTTCATTATCAAAAATCAAACAAATAATATTTTAGATCAAAACAGATTGTAATAAATAATTTCAGATATCTTTCACTCAATACTCCAAAAATATCAAATTAGTAAGACAGCATCATGAAATTGAATAAAAATTCTTAGAAGTACAGAGAAATAGAAAATGCATATAGAATAGTAATTACACGCCAATGGTGTATGTCCATGAAAGCTGCTTCTTTGAGAAAAGGCTTTTTTAAGTCTGAGATTGTTCAGGAGCTAGCGTACGATACAAATCATGAAAATAAAAGTATACATGAGTATCACAAGCAATTATTTACATCTTCCAGAAATTTTAAAGCAAAATTTACAATTTTTTATGATGAGGAAAAATAAAATTTAAAAATCGGGTTGGGCAAAAACCGATTTTTTCTCGAAATTCCTCTCCAATCAATACTTCCTATGTAGAATCACCTCGCTCTTTTTTCCGCTAACTTTTCTGTTCGTCCAGTCTAATCGATGACAGGATCCACTTTTCGCCAGCATGGATCATCTTCAAAGTGTAATAACTCTCGGGGAGAAACTAATTTTCATGTTATTGATTTGTCAAAACTTAGTAATCTTCGAAATGCTACAATGTGATGCAATAATGATGATCCAATTATTATTTTTGTAAAAAAGGGACATAAATTATTCTTCCCCCTTGATCTTCAACTATGCTAGAGTCATTATTCATTTAAATTTGGTTCATGTGTGTTATATTTTATTTTAGAATTCTGGAAATAAAAACGCTGTTAGTTTCTAGAAGAGTTTTATACAAAAATCTGAAATAGACTTATAATTATTTCCCATATCTTCTGCAATCTTTTTATATACTTTTAAATTTAGATGATGAAATGATTTTTCTTTTGAATTTTATTTCTACTATTTTTTAATTAATTTTGCATCATATTTATAACTGAAAAATTACACTTTAAGGATCGCAATTCAGGAGAAAAAACGCTATTGAACTCTAACGAAATCTAGAGTGGACGGTGGAACTGAAATCATCGAAACCGGTTTGTTTTTCGAACAGAACAGAGAAGAGTAAAACAACGATTGTTATAAATACTTCAACGCTTCATCAAGCAAACAAACAGGTTTTGAGCTCTTTTCCTTCCACCCTCCTCACTAGTGATTAGATAGATTTTTGTTTCATCTTTGTTTAAATATTAATTTTTGACCCATAATGTGTAGGGGATAGAGGGGTCAATTGTAACACTTTTTACTTAACTATTTTTAACTAACAAAAAAACAATATATTATAAGTATTAATTGACAGACGAGTAAAGTAGGCCATCCTCTACTAGAAAAAAAATACCTTATTTTAAATATTATTATATTAGTTATTAACAATTTTTGACAGTCGTGTTACATTTGTCCCCACTTACGGGGTCAATTGTAACAGTTCATAAATTCAACTAAAACATAGTTAATTATACATATTATCATAGTTGTGATATATTTTTTTATTGATCAAAATAGTAGTGATATTTTAGGAGTAAAAATAATAATGAGCAGAGACCTTAAACTTTTAACTTTATGGGGATAAAAATTTTAATTTATGCTGTGAAAGGTGACAAATAAAATAATGCACATGCAACATAATATAAATGATATAGGAAACTATTGGTGGATCTTAAGGAGTTAAGTAATGGTTTGTAAACATAAGATGATTTATTTTCAGCTGTTACAATCGTTTATTTTCAGCTGTTACAATCGTCCCTTTACTTATTGTTACAATCGCCCCCAAGACACCATTTCAGCTTCATTTGTTGTTAAAAACAATGCTAGTTAACTAACAAAACTAATCTTTTTTTTAAATGCTAATTAAGGTGTCCACTTACATATTCGGTTAATAATTTTTATTTGTTTGAACAAAATTACTTTGTTACAATATAATATTCTAATACCAAAAAAAGTACTTACGTAGCGTGAAAATATCGTTTGTGATGTAACTTTTTCATAAGTACATAAAAATGGTTGCCAGCAGGGGTGTATACATGTAGATTTATTAAATACACCTTGTGCGCCACCTAGGAGCCAAATCTAGAATCCGACACTCGAAATTTTAACTCTGTTACAATCGTACCCTGTTACAATTGACCCCACTCTCCCCTATACTTTTTTGGCTTCATTATTTACAGTTTTAAGTATATATTTAAAGGTGATATTAATGGAAATACTTGTATAAGATTTATCTACGGTAGTTTAAGCTTTATTATTTTTTCTGCTTTTAGAGTATCGTTTTAAAAACTTAATAGTACTTAATTTTTAGAATGAATCATTCTACAAAATTTGTAAAAACTTGTATAACAATGTATCCGTTACTGGCAAATTTTGAAATCCCGCATTCTATAGAATGCCTAGGCATTGTACATAATGCCTAAAACTAGCCGGTAATGTATGAAACGACTTATATTTCACACATTTCTTAGGCATTCTATAGAAAGCCAAAAAAGAAACCTGCAAAACATAAAATACATCTCTGATTCGTCAAAATGTCATTCAAAAATGTCAAATTCAAAATGTCATTCAAGCCAGCCATGTTGCAACAAGTAGGTTAATTTCTTATTTCTTATATGAAAATTTTGTTTACCTTAATAAGAAAAGCATAAGTTATGTTTTACGCAACTTTCTTTCTTTTTACGCATTTCGAATAAAAAAATTTTAATGGCACTCTTATATTTTTTGAGAATAACGTTTTATTTTTGAGAAATGCACATCATTTACATAATGACCTCATCAGGACGTTTTTTTTTTAATGCTTTGCCTAAATAGCATTTGTCACTCTATAGAATGCCTAGGTATTATATACAGTGCCTAGGGAAATGTAGTACTTGTCATATTTCAAACCTTGCTTAAAAACAACCGACCTTATATACAATCCTTAGGCATTCTATAGAAAGCCGGCGTTTCATACTTATGCCGATAACATATCCAATTAAATCCTACAAATTGGATAATATTTGAAATATGTTCAGTGTGTTGTATTCAAGTGATTTATGATTACGGAACATCCTGTGTATTGTGTTTTTAGTAGTATTATATCGAACTTCTTTCTTTTACTTAGTCATTTGAAAAATAATGATGTATTATATAATATATAATAATATTATAATAATATGTAAAATAATAATAATGTATCGAGTAATGATGTATTGTATAAAAACTTCCCAGTAGTACTGTTTTCAAAATATGCCTTCAAAGATTTATGATTATGGAAA